TCTGGTTTGCCATTTTCCTTTTTTCTGTCCCATGTGCCATATTACTCTATCGTAGTAATAAATGGTCAATAACACAGTGGATTGTGTCATCACTTTTCACCGGAGTGATCAAAGGTTTAATCCTGATCCAGGATGTTTTCAAGACACTTCAGATTCTGGAACTTGATTTCATGGTTAACTGTTGCTTACAAAATCCTTTAGTACTATAACCCTTATCAACTTATATCCTATTTTGTGGACATATATATTCATGGATTTAGAGTAACTACAAATTCAACACAAATGAATTCTCTTGAAAATTAATTATTTTACAGTACTTGACAACCTTTTGTAATGTCTGTCAGGGAGATTCATGCATTCAAAACACAGACCTCATATTGACACCCTCCAAAGTCAATATTTAGTAGCTGTTTCTGATAGTCTTATTCAATTTTTTTTATCATTATTAAAAAATGGAACAGAAAATTAAAAAAATTGTCCGAAATAGAGAAAACTACCTAGGATATAACAGGAATGATGAAATTAAATTAATGAAACTTTGTTTCGTAATTGTGGTAAAATAAATGAAGTTTTGTTAACTTACCCTTTAATCATTACAGATCAAGTCTCCGGTGGCCAGATGACCATTGCGATCAAGACATTCGGGAAAGTGAAATACCAGGGTAGCAAAACAAGAGCATTCCACCAAAACTTTATGTTAACCTCTCTTAACAATGTGTGGAAAATTGTCAGTGACAGTTTCAGATTTCAGGAATGACAACTACTACCAAGGATCAAATCAGAGATTACAACTAATGTCAGTGTATAAAAGATGGTTAGCAAATATTGAAAGAACATAACCCTGGTTAAACACTATTCAGCAACTTATCCTGGATGAAGGACTAGGAATTGTGTTCAGAAAAATAAAATTCATCAAACTTTTAATTATGGTTGTAATGGAAAGTTCAGAATTTCTAATTTCTTCAATACTAGGGTGAAAAATTGGAACATCTTTATATTCAAAATTCAAAACACTTTCTATTAGCAAAAGTGTTATTTCATCAATAGATTGAATGAGTCTTACTGAAGAATCTGTAAACAGAAATTATATAGGAAAATGCTACAAATATAGAGGCAGCACATGATTTTGTTTTTATGTGAAAAATAATAAAGGCAGCTTCTCAACAGTAGTGGTCTCCTATCACAGGGAGTTTTGTATCAGTTAACAGAGACAGTTTCTTATCTGGGGTGGTCTCTTTACACAGGCAGCTTTTAACAGTGTTGTCTCTTAACACAAGCGGTTTGCTATCTGGAGTGGTCTCTTTACACAGGCAGCTTTTAACAGTGTTGCCTCCTAACACAAGCAGTTTGCTATCTGGAGTGGTCTCTTTACACAGGCAGATTTTAACGGTGTTTTCTCTTTAACACAAGCGGTTTGGTATCTGGGGTGGTCTCTTATCACAGGTGGCTCTTTATCAGTGATCTTTTAAAAGGTTACTTCTGAAATAAGGTATTTTTTTTGTTAATCACTAATTAGCTAAATACCAGATAACAAGGTTAAACTGTAGACATCAAGAGGACTGCTGTGTTGAATTGAATGTGTACTATATATGTTAACATCGCTTGTCATCATTCGTCCTTGTAAAATTTAATAGCTTTCATGACAGTTGATAATTTCATCATTCAGGAATACATTTATTTTCTAATTAAAGCTACAAAAGATAATGCCCTTTTTTGTTTTTATATTGTGCTATTGACATCTCAGCTCTGTATACTGGTCGTGAATTAACCCAGTTTTTCATTTAAAGTCCAGCTTCCTCCAGTTTGGCTTCACTTGTGTAAACTGGGCACATCAAGCCAGATAATCAGAAAATAAATTCACACGTGCTGGGAAATTTGTACTGGTTTACATTACTTCCATGATAGCTAGTAGTTCTGGTATGGATGATTGAAAAAGTACTGAAAGTAATGGTTTTACAGCAAAACCTACTAGGCTTTTTTCGAAGTTTATCAAAGTGTTAACTCTTAGCGTCAACAGCAACTAAAAACTGATACTATGTTACAGGCGCTATGTAGACCAAAAACAAATAAGACTTTGAATCCATAGTAAATGGATGCTCTGTACTGATTATGATTCTTTCAGATGTTTTGGATTTTAAAAACGGTTGAGCATACACTTGTAGCCAGAAATTTGCAACAATAGGAGCTCAATTGGTTCTTGGAGTCTTTTGAGTTTAGAAACAAACAAGACTTGTGTGATTTAGAGGATTTAATGGAATAAGATAGGTACAAGTATTGATCACCAAGTGAAAACTAGCACTTCTCACGCCAATAAAGTCGTATAACAAAGTAGCACTTCTATATACCATAATTCCTAAACCTTTGGTAAGTATCGTTGTACATAACACACAAACCATCAAACAATCAACTGGATGGAGGAATATTTCATATCACAATCAAATTCACCATAATTTTGATTGACAATTCACTGAAACAAGAAGGATTTGGTATACATTTTTTGAGAGAGAAATTCTCCACTTATACATGTTTCAATACTGTGAATGAATATGAAAGTAGAACAGTATGATAACACTTTATCCTCCAGGACAAAAAAATCTGGGGTAAACAGAAGTGACATTGAGACAGTTCATATGATACATCAGACCTGGCTACTGACGGTCAACGGTACGTCAGTGTGTTTGTGTTTTAGTTTAGTAAAGAACTAGTTCTACAGAAAAAGTAGGTAAAAAACTGAACTTTTGATGTGTAAACAATGCTATTTCCTGTAAATACAAACTATTATACATCAGTAATGTTTAAATACAATCATTAATGTAAGTGAAACATTTCACAAATTTTATATAGAATCCTAGAAATATATTTTATACACATGTAAATCTATTGTTTCTAAAGTAGAAAACATGCATTCGTTATTTTTATCACATTCTGATACATTGAACATTATTTTAACATGATTTACGGTATTCTATTTTGGGAAGAAAATGAATGATTCTGATGTTTTGATGGCGTGAAGAGATATATAGTGATATACCTAGTGCTTAGCACCACCTTCAAGTATTACCTGACTCGACAAAATCAGTAACTATATTGACAGATTGTACAATGAATGCTGAGGAGCTCAATAACATATAGGTAGGTCAGATTTTATCCTATTACATGGCAGTTAAGGTGATAAGTAAATATACAAGTGTTTTGTTTGTCACCTTGAGTACTATTATCTACAGTGACATGATGTGATGTTTGACCTTCATGCTATATAAAGTAACACTACATATGTAGTAAAAATATGATGAAAAGCCAAGAAAAACAAATTTTAGAATTAACTTTATGCTTCGGACTACTACAATTTTCACAATTTTCTCAAAATCTTGAGCTACAATTGTTTCTTTTTTTTTCAACTCAACTTCTTGATGACAAAGTTTCTCTGAAATTGAAGTTGATGTTGATTCAAAGCTTTTCAAAGGTTGTCTTGTTAACACTCTTGGTGATGTTATATCCAAACTTGCATTCAAGATCATATAGACACAAACAAATGTCAATTTCAGACAAAAGTTCAGTCATAAAGAAGCTTTTACTAATTAAAATTGTAATAACAGTATTTGAAAAATTTCATGTCTTATCTTTTCACTGAAATTTAAAGCTATTAATTGGACTTAATAAAAGACATATCAGTCACCTTACTGAAACCTACAATACTATATCAGTCCTACTTTGTGTGACATTACAAAATTTAAAAAGAATGCTGCAAGCACAACACACCTATTAGTCCAGCATACTAATTCTTGTTTGTGTCTATCACATTATACCTTACATTCAATTCCATTACAGACATGAGTAACGGTGATGATACTTGAATGATGTATGGCCCATAATAATGATATGCATGTATGTTATGGAGAACTATAAGAGAAAAAAATTAGGGAATGCCTGATAGTGCTTTGATAAGAAAGTCATAGGAAAGTAAAAGAAGAAAAAGAGAGGACATCAAAAGAAATAATACGAAGCTAAATAGTGTATAGAATTTCTAACGTTCCTAAAACACATACACTGATGATCAGATACTTGAATGATACCAACACATGTTTCAGAGATATAGGAAAATACTGAATGTGGAAAAGACAGGATATGAGGTCAACATGGGAGATCCATAGATATTAGTACACGGTACAACTGTGTTACAGATACATCCTACATCCACAGATTTTAGTACACTGTACAACTGTGTTACAGATACATCTTAAATCCATAGATTTTAGTACACTGTACAAATGTGTTACAAATACATCCTACATCCATAGATTTTAGTACACTGTACAACCGTGTTACAGATACATCCTACATCCACAGATTTTAGTACACTGTACAAATGTGTTACAGATACATCCATATATCTTAGTACACTGTACAACCGTGTTACAGATACATCCATAGATCTTAGTACACTGTACAACTGTGTTACAGATACATCCTACATCCATAGATTTTAGTACACTGTACAACCGTGTTACAGATACATCCATAGATCTTAGTACACTGTACAACTGTGTTACAGATACATCCTACATCCATAGATTTTAGTACACTGTACAACCGTGTTACAGATACATCCATAGATCTTAGTACACTGTACAACTGTGTTACAGATACATCCTACATCCATAGATTTTAGTACACTGTACAACCGTGTTACAGATACATCCATAGATCTTAGTACACTGTACAAATGTGTTACAAATACATCCTACATCCATAGATTTTAGTACACTGTACAACCGTGTTACAGATACATCCTACATCCACAGATTTTAGTACACTGTACAACTGTGTTACAGATACATCTTAAATCACTGTACAACTGTGTTACAGGTACATCCTACATCCATAGATTTTAGTACACTGTACAACTGTGTTACAGATACATCTTACATCCATAGGTTTTAGTACACTGTACAACTGTGTTACAGGTACATCCTACAGGTACATCCTACATCCATAGATTTTAGTACACTGTACAACCGTGTTACAGATACATCCATAGATCTTAGTACACTGTACAACTGTGTTACAGGTACATCCTACATCCATAGATTTTAGTACACTGTACAACTGTGTTACAGATACACCCTACATCCATGGATATTTGTACACTTTACAACTGTGTTACAGATACATCTTACATCCATAGATTTTAGTACACTGTACAACCGTGTTACAGATACATCCATAGATCTTAGTACACTGTACAACTGTGTTACAGGTACATCCTACATCCATAGATTTTAGTACACTGTACAACTGTGTTACAGATACACCCTACATCCATGGATATTTGTACACTTTACAACTGTGTTACAGATACATCTTACATCCATAGATTTTAGTACACTGTACAACTGTGTTACAGGTACACCCTACATCCATGGATATTAGTACACTGTACAAATGTGTTACAGATACATCCTACATACATAGATTTTAGTACACTGTACAACTGTGTTACAGGTACATCCTACATCCATGGATATTAGTACACTGTTCAACTGTGTTACACATACAAATGTCACAAAACAATGTCTGGAGGAATATTTGATTTTGTGGTCCTTAGTAGGTCATCAATGTTCCAAAGTATGGTGTAGAGTTCATTGTCACATTTCAGTCATCTGTACCAGCACTATGCGCATGAACTTCTGGGAACACAATTTCACGGGGATAAGTCACCATCATATCCCTCTCTGAGAGGTCTGAGTCTACTGCGAGTTGCCGGCCCTGAAACATCAAATGTCAATAACTGTTCAAGTTAACGTCAATGCAAATCCTTCTGTTAAATGAAACAGGCTGAAATTTCACTTTCATTGAATTATTTCCAGAATGGTAGCGAAAACCACACAATTGGTTGAAAGCAAGATTTCACTGAAATTGTTGTGAAAGATTTTCCTACATAACGGTGAGCTTGATTTTAATAGCAAACAAGGTTAGACTTGACACAAAAAGTAGAAAAGATCATATAAACACTGTCAGAAGTGATAAATTTCACCCACAGAAACCCTCAAACTAAATATCAGTACCATAGCAAACTTATAAAGGAGTTAACTGATGCCTTTCAACACTTGCACCAAAAACTGAACATCAGATTTGACAAAAAAGTCTTGAGTCTCAAATGCTTCAAAACAAAATGATTCATTCCAACTGAAACAGCAACCCCAAATCAAATATTAGTACCCTTATACACTGATAAAGAAGTTTACTGATGCCTTTCAAAAACTTAATATTAGATTTGACATTAAAAATCTTCCTCCAAAATACAAAGAAAAATCTCCTAGAGATCTAAGAGGGGTGTTGGCGCCCACCATTGTTTAATTTTTATTTATGTTTGAAAGGTGGATCTTTTGCCTTCTTTTCTCTTCTCTGTTTCTGCTCTTAATGATAAGAAATTTCAACATTCCTTTACAGAAATAGCGATAATAATCTTTAACTAGGAAATTCATGATGGCTGTCTGTTTTTTTTATCAGTTCCAAAAACAAAATGGGCACAACTAGGGGCCAAGGGGAACCTACACATGAAATCTGAGAAAGATCTATGCAGTAGTTCTCAAGAAATAGTAATAACAATCTTTCAAAGTAAAAAAAATCCAAGATGACCTGTTGACTTAATGTTTTTCTGATCAGTCCAAAAAATAAAACAGGCATAATAAGTAACAAATTAGAAAGAGACTGATGGAGTACTTCTCATGAAAAAGTTATAACAAAAATTGTCTAAAGACTGATGACTGACCATCGATGTAGGGCAATTTGGAATAGTCGCCATCTGATTGATGATGATGGGTGAAAAAAAATGATTTAATCCCACCCTGGAAAGTAATAATCAGCCCCTACAGCAACCCTCCAACCAAATATCATTACCACAGTACCACTGGAGTTTTTTTACTTGTAACAAAAACTGAACTTTTAGATGCCAACTCTGGAGTGACAACATAAGCTCCCCCTCTCTTGTAGTGTCCAGCTAAAACAGCTAAGATGCCATATTGAAACTATTCAGAATGGCTTACAAGACCACCATCCAAAGATACACTTAGCATTATGTTATGGTCACAACCTACAGAATGCAATGAATCCATGCCCAATACCAGTGCCATGGACCATTTGGTTATAGTGGAGAAGTTGTTTAAAGATTTTGATATATTTGACCCCTGTGACCTTGAAAGCAGGTCAAGGTCATTTATATTGACAGATAGATCTAACTCCAAGCAAGCTACCTACCTAATATCAGTACCCTGGGCCTCTTCAGTTATTGAGAAGATGTTGTTTAAACATTTTATCACATTTGACTCTTGTGACATTGAAAGTCAGTCAAGGTCATTCCTATTAACACACTTGGTAGCCATTTATCCCATCATGCTTCAGGCCCAATATCAGCACCTTAGGTGTTTTGATTATTGAGAAGAAGTCATTTGAATGTAAAGTTTATGCACAGTGCACAACCACAGACAAAACACATGGCTATAAATCATCCTGACCCTTCAATTCAGATGACCAAAATATGAGCAGCGCAGTATCAATTTTTGATAAATGATTTCATTACTGGAATCAGTTCTACTGTATTTTCACCCACCTGCTGAAAAAATTGTTCAAATTCCTCAAGGACAGTTTCGGAGCTGAACTGAGCACGGAATTCTCGTCTGACAGGATCGTCTGTAGAGAAATCAATTGGTGACCACTCACAGTTCCTCTGCTTCTTGTTGCTACACATAAAAGAATTACAAGTCAGGGTTACATACAAATGATTCGATTATTTTCCAGTAGTTTAAGCACTTTTCAATTATGAACAATGTATACCTTGGTACCTGTGGGGTTTTTTTTTAAACATTATAAAAAATAACAAAAATAACAAATAAAAAAAATCAGATTGATAACATTAACCTAACCTTAGAGCCATGATAGAGCAACTCATTTAAACTCATGATTTGCTGACATCTTTTGAAATCAAAATCAAAAAGAAATAAGTTCCGGAAGTGGTAACCCTGAACTGACGAGACTTCAATGGAACACCTCATCCCCCATTTTAAAAAAAAGTTGGACATATTGACCGATCTACTTCAGTATACAGTATTTGAATTCTTTCACATTTCCCTTTACATTAGCAAAAAAAATCAAACACCTGTGATTCCCACATACTTACAGTCTTAATGCAGACTCTTTTGTTAACAAATGATTGCACACAGTCGTTTTGTTGTCTGTTTCCATGGCGATTCTGTTTCCATTCACATCTTCATCATAAACCACCTTAAGTTGACCCATTCCAAGTATCTATCAAAAATAATGTGTCTCCCTCAATTTATGTCACAGTACTAATTACTGCCTCTACAAATGCAAGTAAAATTGTGTTGTAGTAACTATCTCCTTTACAAATGATGACATGATGACACAGGTTTTACTGTTCCTGTGTACAGGTGGACTTACTGTTCCTCCACATGCTGTGGTGCAGCTTTCATACTTCTTGCTATCAAATACCTATTTCATAATCTATTTCTTGAAACTCAGATAAACAAATTTTTTACAAATGGCAGTTCAAATGAAATTGTGGTAATTATATCAAGGATATGCTATCAGTCCTAAAACAGATTGATTCGGCCTTGTGCTTCTGACAATTTGCCCAAGACCTTTCGGCCAATCAGGGCTGGTGGAGACACTTGCTACCTCAATAACTTACCTTCCACTTCCCATTCTCCTTTGTATACATTGTTGCCCTTTTTTCAAACAAAATCATCTCATCATCATCATCATCATCGTCATCATCATCATCATCCTCTTCCTCCTCAACTTCTTCATTGTCATCCTCCTCTTCATTGGGCTGTGAAATGCCAGCATCACTGGCCTCAACAGATGTCACTTCCGAGACCTGAATTGGCATCTTATCCTCTGTAAACATCAAATCTATATAAATTAAACAGCAACAGTTAAGATTCCAGATAAAACCTGAACAAGTATGTAGAAGAACCTGCACACTTACACCCAAGCCATAAAGTGTGACTAATGATACAATCTTATGGTAATGCATTTTTTGTAATAAATCAATTCATGAAATGTTTTTTCTTGTTTTATTTAAAGACAGTTATAAGCTCACCATTGGCTGGTTTTGGCATCTCTCTCAACTTTGCTTGGCATTTATCAATCATTTCTTTAAATTGGGAGGCTATATCTATATTCTGGAAAAGAACGAAATGCAAAAAATGGTACAACTAAAATTTCAACAGGGTCTTTAAATATTACAATTAATCTTGGAATACAGTAAAAATGTTTTCAGGTATTTAAAATTTTGCACAATACCAGTTATAATTATAGTGTAAAACAATATCTTTAATGTGAAAAGCACTATGATCAGATTACTGCTGAAACATGTACATTAACAGTAGTCTCATTTTAACTGTTCATTTCACTACTTCAAAGTGTAATTTATTAGACATTTCTTTGGGCACTTTGAATGACAACTTTATGTATAATGACCCATACTGATCTTGAACTTATGCATAAGGACACATAATGACCTTTAACTTTATGTATAACAACATACACTGACCTTGAACTTCACAGCCAGCTGTTCCATACGTGCTTCATTTTCACTGTAATCCAGTGAAGTCCAACACCATGCTAGCTCTGACGTGGCCATAGGTTTAAACGTGAGGTCAGGGGTCAACCAGTGGTTACAGGCCAGTTTGTATATCTGTTCTCTACGTAGTAACAAACGGATCTTTCCTACAACACAATACATCTACCTTTATTGTTCCCAGTAATATAATAACCATCACATTCCTTCAACATTCATGAAGTAATAAATACTCTTCCTACAAGAAAATGTCTAAAATTACAGACTCATGTGTCACTGTGAGAGTGAAAATGTAAGGTTTCTAAAATTACAGACCCATGTGTCACTGTGAGAGTGAAAATGTAAGGTTTCTAAAATTACAGACCCATGTGTCACTGTGAGAGTGAAAATGTAAGGTTTCTAAAATTACAGACTCATGTGTCACTGTGAGAGTGAAAATGTATGGTTTCTAAAATTACAGACCCATGTGTCACTGTGAGAGTGAAAATGTATGGCTTCTAAAATTACAGACTCATGTGTCACTGTGAGAGTGAAAATGTATGGTTTCTAAAATAACAGACTCATGTGTCACTGTGAGAGTGAAAATGTATGGTTTCTAAAATAACAGACTCATGGGTCACTGTGAGAGTGAAAATGTATGGTTTCTAAAATTACAGACTCATGTGTCACTGTGAGAGTGAAAATGTATGGTTTCTAAAATAACAGACTCATGTGTCACTGTGAGAGTGAAAATGTATGGCTTCTAAAATTACAGACTCATGTGTCACTGTGAGAGTGAAAATGTATGGTTTCTAAAATTACAGACTCATGTGTCACTGTGAGAGTGAAAATGTATGGTTTCTAAAATAACAGACTCATGTGTCACTGTGAGAGTGAAAATGTATGGTTTCTAAAATTACAGACTCATGTGTCACTGTATGAGTGAAAATGTATGGCTTCTAAAATTACAGACTCATGTGTCACTGTGAAAGTGAAAATGTAAAGTTTCTAAAATTACAGACCCATGTGTCACTGTGAAAGTGAAAATGTAAGGTTTCTAAAATTACAGACCCATGTGTCACTGTGAAAGTGAAAATGTAAGGTTTCTAAAATGTGTGTCACTGTGTATGGCTTCTAAAATTACAAACTCAAACTGTGTGAAAATGTAAGGTTTCTAAAATTACAGACTCATGTGTCACTGTGATAGTGAAAATGTAAGGTTTCTAAAATTACAGACCCACGTGTCACTGTGAGAGTGAAAATGTAAGGTTTCTAAAATTACAGACTCATGTGTCACTGTGAGAGTGAAAATGTAATGTATGGTTTCTAAAATTACAGACTCATGTGTCACTGTGAAGTGAAAATGTATGGTTTCTAAAATTACAGACTCATGTGTCACTGATAGAGTGAAAATGTATGGTTTCTAAAATTACAGACTCATGTGTCACTGTGAAAATGTAGTGAAAATGTAAAATAACAGGTTTCTAAAATTACAGACTCATGGGTCACTGTGAGAGTGAAAATGTATGGTTTCTAAAATTACAGACTCATGTGTCACTTATAGAGTGAAAATGTATGGTTTCTAAAATTACAGACTCATGTGTCACTGTGAGTTAAAGTGAGTGAAAATGTATTTCTAAATGGTCACTGTGAAAGTGAAAATGTATGGTTAAAATTACAGTGTCACTGTTCATGAAAATGTATGGTTTCTACTGTGTCACTGTGAAGTGAAAATGTATGGTTTCTAAAATTACAGACTCATGTGTCACTGTGAAAGTGAAAATGTATGGTTTCTAAAATTACAGACTCATGTGTCACTGTGAGAGTGAAAATGTAAGGTTTCTAAAATTACAGTACTGTGAAAATGTATGGAATGTGTCACTGTGATGAGTGAAAATCTAAAATTACAGACTCATGTGTCACTGTGAGAGTGAAAATGTAAGGTTTCTAAAATTACAGACCCATGTGTCACTGTGAGAGTGAAAATGTAAGGTTTCTAAAATAACAGACTCATGTGTCACTGTGAGAGTGAAAATGTAAGGTTTCTAAAATTACAGACCCATGTGTCACTGTGAAAGTGAAAATGTAAGGTTTCTAAAATTACAGACTCATGTGTCACTGTGAGAGTGAAAATGTATGGCTTCTAAAATAACAGAGTGTGTCAAAATTACTGTGTGTAACTGTTCAAGTGAAAATGTATGGTTTCTAAAATTACAGACTCATGGGTCACTGTGAGAGTGAAAATGTATGGTTTCTAAAATTACAGACTCATGTGTCACTTATAGAGTGAAAATGTATGGTTTCTAAATGAAACTTTTGTCACTGTGAGAGTGAAAATGTATGGCTTCTAAAATTACAAACTCATGTGTCACTGTTCAAGTGAAAATGTATGGTTTCTAAAATTACAGACTCATGTGTCACTGTTAAAGTGAAAATGTATGGTTTCTAAAATTACAGACTCATGTGTCACTGTTAAAGTGAAAATGTATGGTTTCTAAAATTACAAACTTGTGTCACTTATAGAGTGAAAATGTAAGGTTTCTAAATGAAACTTTTGTCACTGTGATAGTGAAAATGTATGGCTTCTAAAATTACAAACTCATGTGTCACTGTTCAAGTGAAAATGTATGCTTTCTAAAATAACAGACTCATGTGTCACTGTATGAGTGAAAATGTATGGTTTCTAAAATTAGACTCATGTGTCACTGTTAAAGTGAAAATGTATGGTTTCTAAAATTACAGACTCATGTGTCACTGTATGAGTGAAAATGTAAGGTTTCTAAATGAAACTTTTGTCACTGTGAAAGTGAAAATGTATGGTTTCTAAAATTACAGACTCATGTGTCATTGCGAAAGTGAAAATGTATGGTTTCTAAAATCACAGACTCATGTGTCACTGTTAAAGTGAAAATGTATGGTTTCTAAAATTACAAACTAGTGTGTCACTGTGAGAGTGCAGGATAACAAAGTATGAAATAGAATGACTATAAGACATGAATGTCCCCACTTCTTTGCAAACCAGAATCTGGTCAGGTGTAGAACTTGACGTTTCCTTACTCTGGGGTAAATATCCCATTTAAACCAAATCTGTTGAGGGAACCTGAATATATCAGATGGACTGATACCCAAAAATTTGTGGAATTTAATATCTATATTCCTAGTTTTCAAGGATTATCTTATATGAATACCCCTCTCCAATCGAATACTTTTTGCTATTAAACATTTATTACTATCTAAACAAGCTGCAAATTTACTCCTCAAGTTTGTGATGTACTAGGAAACACTTAGGAAAAACATAATGAAACATTTGTGTGATTTCATCAGAAGTTTGATCTACCTGTGTCATGTTGTTGTAGGATCTTCATTTCACCAATGCCTTTCTCCTTCCATTGATTAACATCTTTGTCAAACCGGTAAAGTTTAGCACGCATACAGAACAAAGCATCAAAGTCCTCTTCACCTGTCAGTAAATGTATATAATAAAACAAGAGGTCCACAGACCTTAAGGGTCATCAGACTATAAAGACCTATATATGAAAAGAGGCCAAATAGGCTTCAAATAAACTGCTCAACTACACTACAGCTTACGAAGAAGACATGAACTACACAAATGCAATTAAGCATGCTACAGGCCCAATATCAAGACCCTTGGCCTTTTGGTTATTGAGAAGTTGCCTATGCATTTCAACAAATTTGACATTGACAGTAGGTTAAGGTGAACAAAATTAGTAGCCCTTCATCCCATCATCCTACAGGCCCTATATCAGCACCATTGACCTTTTTTGTAATTGAGAAGAAGTCTTTCAAATATTTCAACACGTTTTAACTCTGTGACCTTGAAAGTTGGTCAAGGTAATTAATTTTATCAAACTTGGTAGCCCTTCATCCTAGCATGCTACAGGCCTAATATAAGCACCCTGGGCCTTTTGGTTATTGAGAAGAAGTTATTTAATGATTTAAACATATTTGACCCCTCTGACCTTGAAAGCAAGTCAAACTCAATCATATTGACAAACTTGGTAGCCCATCATCAGATCATGCTACAGGCCTAATATCAATACCCTGAGCCTTCTGCTTATTGAGAAACAGTCATTTAATTGCAAAGTATGTGTACGAAGGACGATGCATGATGACTGACCAAACACAGTGGCTGTAGGTCATCCTGACCCTCTGGTCAAATGACTTAAGAATGAAAATTACTAAAATAAATCAATGGATACTGATGAATTTAATGATTATCCCTCAGATAGTTCTTGAGAATTCAGAGTAATAAACATCTAATTGTCAAAACCTAGGATAGCCTCTTAAAGCCATCTTGAATATTGCATTATACCAACAACAGGCTCGATGGGTTTGCAGCGTTCACCTGGTTTGTATGTACCAGCCAAATATCATGCCTCTAGGCTTTTCAATTCATGAGAAGAAGCCGTTTAAAAAGGTTTAACAAATTTGACCTCTGTGACCTTGAATATAATTCAGGGTCATTTCTTTTCGCGAACTTTGTCAGGCTTCACCCTCACAAAATACCAGCAAAATATCATGCCTCTGAGCCTTTTATTTAATGAGAAGTCGTTTAAAGGTTTTAACAAATCTTTCCCCTGTGACCTTGAATATAGATCAAGGTCATTTCTTTTTGCAACATTTGTCAGACTTCATCAAAGGAACATACTAGCCAAATATCAAAACAAAGAAGTTGTTTAAAGAAAAAAGTTGATGCCGAACGAAGGACAGATGAAGCCCATGGCATAAGGTCACTTGGCCCTTCAGGCCAGGTGAGCTAAAAATGCATTACCAAGACCAATATATACTTATAACCAGTATGTTGATTGAGTTTCAACAAGTTCCCTTTCCAATCAACACTTTGGTAGAAATAGCCATCAATAAAACTTTCAGAGTCAAATTTCAGATTTCTATACACCTTCTCTGCTCTGTTGAAAAGATAAAAAGAGTGAAAAATACTCTACTACTGACTGACCTGTTTTAATTTCTACAAGATCAGGAAGGGGAACAATTGGCTCAAATTGTGGATCATGACTTTCGACAACTTCATTGTCTTCTTCTCCATGTTGCTCCCCTCCATCTTGGCCCTTAGTGCCAAACAGCTGTTTGCCTGCCCCTGACCAGCTAAATGGCTTGCCATCATCTGAAACACCAAACCAAACAAATATTGTACATCAAGTAGCTGGAAAACAATATTATTCAAAGGACAACCTGTAATACTTGTAAGGACAACCTGTAATACTTGTAAGGACAACCTGTAATACTTGTAAGGACAACCTGTAATACTTGTAAGGACAACATGTAATACTTGTAAGGACAACATGTAATACTTGTAAGGACTACCTGTAATACTTTTAAGGACAACCTGTAATACTTGTAAGGACTACCTGTAATACTTTTAAGGACAACCTGTAATACTTGTAAGGACTACTGTAAGGACAACCTGTTATACGTGTAAGGACAACCTGTAATACTTGTAAGGACAACCTGTAATACTTGTAAGGACAACCTGTAATACTTGTAAGGACAACCTGTTATACTTGTAAGGACAACATGTAATACTTGTAAGGACAACATGTAATACTTGTAAGGACAACCTGTAATACTTGTAAGGACAACCTGTTATACGTGTAAGGACAACATGTAATACTTGTAAGGACAACCTGTAATACTTGTAAGGACAACCTGTAATACTTGTAAGGACAACCTGTAATACTTGTAAGGACAACCTGTAATACTTGTAAGGACAACATGTAATACTTGTAAGGACAACCTGTAATACTTTTAAGGACAACCTGTAATACTTGTAAGGACAACATGTAATACTTGTAAGGACAACCTGTAATACTTGTAAGGACAACATGTAATACTTGTAAGGACAACATGTAATACTTGTAAGGACAACCTGTTATACGTGTAAGGACAACATGTAATACTTGTAAGGACAACATGTAATACTTGTAAGGACAACCTGTAATACTTGTAAGGACTACCTGTAATACTTGTAAGGACAACCTGTAATACTTGTAAGGACAACCTGTAATACTTGTAAGGACAACCTGTAATACTTGTAAGGACAACCTGTAATACTTGTAAGGACAACCTGTAATACTTGTAAGGACTAAGGACAACCTGTAATACTTGTAAGGACAACATGTTATACCTGTAATACTTGTAAGGACTACTGTAAGGACAACCTGTAATACTTGTAAGGACAACCTGTAATACTTGTAAGGACTACTGTAAGGACAACCTGTAATACTTGTAAGGACAACCTGTAATACTTGTAAGGACTACTGTAAGGACAACATGTAATACTTGTAAGGACAACCTGTAATACTTGTAAGGACAACCTGTAATACTTGTAAGGACAACCTGTAATACTTGTAAGGACTACCTGTAAGGACAACCTGTAATACTTGTAAGGACTACTGTAAGGACAACCTGTAATACTTGTAAGGACTACCTGTAATACTTGTGAGGACTACTGTAATACTTGTAAGGACAACATGTAATACTTGTAAGGACAACCTGTTATACTTGTAAGGACAACCTGTAATACTTGTAAGGACAACCTGTTATACTTGTAAGGACTACTGTAAGGACAACCTGTAATACTTGTAAGGACAACCTGTAATACTTGTAAGGACAACCTGTAATACTTGTAAGGACAACCTGTAATACTTGTAAGGACAACCTGTAATACTTGTAAGGACAACCTGTAATACTTGTAAGGACAACCTGTAATACTTGTAAGGACAACCTGTAATACTTGTAAGGACAACCTGTTATACTTATAAGGACTACCTGTAATACTTGTGAGGACTACTGTAATACTTGTAAGGACAACCTGTAATACTTGTAAGGACAACCTGTAATACTTGTAAGGACTACTGTAAGGACAACCTGTAATACTTGTAAGGACAACCTGTAATACTTGTAAGGACAACCTGTAATACTTGTAAGGACAACCTGTAATACTTGTAAGGACAACCTGTAATACGTGTAAGGACAACCTGTAATACTTGTAAGGACAACCTGTAATACTTGTAAGGACTAATACTGTAAGGACAACCTGTAATACTTGTAAGGACAACCTGTAATACTTGTAAGGACAACCTGTAATACTTGTAAGGACAACCTGTAATACTGTAAGGACAACCTGTAATACTTGTAAGGACAACCTGTAATACTTGTAAGGACTGTAACAACTGTAATACTTGTAAGGACAACTGTAATACTTGTAAGGACAACCTGTAATACTTGTAAGGACAACCTGTAATACTTGTAAGGACAACCTGTAATACTTGTAAGGACAACCTGTAATACTTGTAAGGACAACCTGTAATACTTGTAAGGACAACATGTAATACTTGTAAGGACAACCTGTAATACTTGTAAGGACAACCTGTAATACTTGTAAGGACAACCTGTAATACTTGTAAGGACAACCTGTAATACTTGTAAGGACAACCTGTAATACTTGTAAGGACTACCTGTTATACGTGTAAGGACAACCTGTAATACTTGTAAGGACAACCTGTAATACTTGTAAGGACAACATGTAATACTTGTAAGGACAACCTGTAATACTTGTAAGGACAACATGTAATACTTGTAAGGACAACCTGTAATACTTGTAAGGACAACATGTAATACTTGTAAGGACTACTGTAAGGACAACCTGTAATACTTGTAAGGACAACCTGTAATACTTGTAAGGACAACCTGTAATACTTGTAAGGACAACCTGTAATACTTGTAAGGACAACATGTAATACTTGTAAGGACAACCTGTTATACGTGTAAGGACAACATGTAATACTTGTAAGGACAACATGTAATACTTGTAAGGACAACATGTAATACTTGTAAGGACAACCTGTAATACTTGTAAGGACAACCTGTAATACTTGTAAGGACAACCTGTAATACTTGTAAGGACTACTGTAAGGACAACCTGTAATACTTGTAAGGACAACCTGTAATACTTGTAAGGACAACCTGTAATACTTGTAAGGACTACTGTAAGGACAACCTGTAATACTTGTAAGGACTACCTGTAATACTTGTAAGGACTACCTGTAATACTTGTAAGGACTACTGTAATACTTGTAAGGACAACCTGTAATACTTGTAAGGACTACCTGTAATACTTGTAAGGACAACCTGTAATACTTGTAAGGACTACCTGTAAGGACAACCTGTAATACTTGTAAGGACAACCTGTAATACTTGTAAGGACTACTGTAAGGACAACCTGTAATACTTGTAAGGACTACTGTAAGGACTACCTGTAATACTTGTAAGGACAACCTGTAATACTTGTAAGGACTACTGTAAGGACAACCTGTAATACTTGTAAGGACTACCTGTAAGGACAACCTGTAATACTTGTGAGGACTACTGTAATACTTGTAAGGACAACCTGTAATACTTGTGAGGACTACTGTAATACTTGTAAGAACTGTTTCAGTAAAAACATCTTCCGAGCTTTAGCATTCTGTATATATGCTAACCACAATCCTCAAACTTTGTTTGTGGCAGTTGACATAAAAAAGTTAGACAAGAAAACCTGAAATACATCTGGAAACCTAGGGTGCCCAGTTTATGATACTTCAATGATCAAGGCATTGAGTGGCTTCATCATCTGTTGACACTCTTAACAAAACATATCAAAACCAAATATCAAAAGCTGATCAATTTGAGTACATACCTTTCTTGAATGCATTCTCGGAACCAGCTTGTGACGCCAGCTGTGAAAAAGAGAACTGTCCTGCTGAGCTTGTGCTCTGGCCCCCGAAGACTGTTCCTCCTGGGCTGACATTGTGATCACCACTGTTCTTTGGGGTACTGCCTGTTTCTGATGTTGCAGGCTGGCTAACAAGTTTTGTAGTTGGTGGTGCAGGGTCAAACAATCCCTTACTGGAAGGAGTTGATGTGGCTGTTGTGAAGCTAAACAGCCCTGTGGAAGGGGTAGAAGTTGCTGGCATTGAGCCAAACAGTCCTCCAGTTGAAGAGACAGTTGTAGCCGGAAGAGAACCAAACAGTCCTCCTGTGGTAGGGGTACTAAATATTCCAGCAGTAGACTGAGAATTAGGTTTTGAACCAAACACAAGTCCAGGCGAAGAACTTGCTGGAGTGGAAGCAGCACCAAACACTTTACCAGTCTCAAGGCTACCAAACAATCCAGAACCTATACTTTCCCCGCCTCCAAACACACTGTTTGGTGTGGAGGTTTCAGACTTTCCAGACAACCCCTTCAATGACACACTTGTGGTGGTGTTATCTGTAAGTTAAAATGACATATTCAACAAAAGCCCTTAGAAAAGAAACTTTCTGCACAGGCACTAAAGATAGATCACGAAATTCATATTAATATCCATTTATGGTATAATTTGTCTGTAGTGATGTTGGAGTACACATTATCCTGACTAATGAAGTGCACCAGTGTTTTTCCTACAAAGGTACTTATACTGATAATATTGATGAAAACATTGGGAAACAATCAACTGTCATATTTTATCACTCTTGCTGGCCTGGATGTATGGAAGCACACGAGAGGTCTTACTAAGGGAGGAAACTGGAGTACAAGGTGACAACATACCTTTCCACGTCCATACCAAGAAATGAACCCCTGATGTTTAAGTAAAAGGCAAGTATGTTACCTCTGTGCCAACCGACCACTTACACACAAGATATTGTACTGACAATAACTTAAACTTGTTTATACATGTATGAGAAAAATTTTTGACACCCCACCTGGTGGGCAAAATTTGTAACTCCATTATCACAGACATCTTAATTAATCTTAATCTTACCTGTGGGTTTACTAACTGGGTCACCTGGCATACTGTCTGTGCATCCTCTACACCCAGGACATGGTTTTCGTGTCAAATACAGGTAGAAATGATCAGGTAACATATACTTCCTGGCCTTGGCAATTTGTTCCTCTGTGGCCTTTTCCTCACGGACAAACTCTACATCCTCAGATTTACCTAAGGCTAATGAACTTTTAGTCTCTGGAGACTTAACCACACTTGCAGCTGGGGAATCCTCAGACTTGAGTTCTTCCTTCCCAGCCTTTTCCCGCGCTTTGTCAAATGCATCAACAAACTTGCTGGCAACTTCAGCAGACTTGAACCGAATGGAGAATTGCTCCATATTTGGTGTTTCTTCAGAGAAGTCCATGGCAAACCAGATGAGGGCCTTGCCATCTGTCTTAGGCATTGGTTTGAGCATGAGGTCTGGAGTGATATAGTGATGACAGCAAACCTTGAGGATCTGCTCCCGCCGCATCAGAAGACGACACTTCCCTGTATCACTGTTATACAGAATCTTAACATTGCCTAGGCCTCGTTCTTTCCATTCCTGCTTATCAAAGCGATACAGTTTGGCTCGATGCTCATATAATACCTCATCATTCTCCTCTCCTGTTACTATAGTGACTGCCTCTGGAAGCGACACGACAGGTTCAAAGTGTATGTGATCGTCTTCTCCTTCCTTATTTTGATAATAATCATTGCCATCTGGAGATTTGGGAGAAGTGACTCCAGGGGATTTTCCCTGGGTTCCTGAAGGAGTGAATGTAAATTGGAATCCAGATGATATGGTTGACTGTTTGGATTCTGGTGTCTTTGGTTCTGTTGTGGTTTTGAAGGAGAATCCAGCTGGCTTGGTGTCAGGTTCTGTTGTAAATTTGAAAGAGGCTGGAGCTGTTGATTCAGCTGTGGTCTGAGGAGGGGTATCTGTACCAGTTTTACCAAGGTTGAAACTGAAACCTCCCTCAGGAGCACCAAATGTAGTAGGTTTTGGCATGGATTGTGCTGGTGCTATGCCTGAACCAATTCCAGGGGCAGTTTTATTTGCAGTAGATGAAGGTGTGGCAGTGGATGTAGTGGCGGTACTTGTGGACTGTGATGAACTGGACACTAGCGAGCTCATGTTGAACTTAAATCCACCTGCTGAAGAGAAATTTGAATATAGACACACACTAGGCAACAAAATTAAAATGTCCTTTAAAAGAGACAAACTGAATGTACAAGTAAAAAGAGCAACTAATTGGACATAATAATAAACAAGTCACATGATAAACAAAGATGACATCAAGCTATCAAGAAAGACCATGGGACTTACTAATGTAAGAGTTTGTTAGCGTTTATAATACCTATTCAGTTCTCTTTTTAGCTGGACTAATATTCCTATTGAATACACTTAAACATAATTCCTCAAAATTTCAGTTTATTTCTACTTATTTTTCTTAATGAATAAAGAAAAATGCCCTATCCCAAATTAGTGGAAAAGAAAAACAAAAACAGAACAAAAAAAATTAATATAAAGAGAAAATCATGATTGGCTTAAGATAAAATGACTTGTGGTATAGTTATGTGTATTACAATATCATATCCTTTCATAACTTTGGGAAATCTATAGCCATCACAGACTTGAAAGCGTTAAAATCTAAGACTGAAAATAATCAACATCTCTTGTCTCTGGTTAGTCTTGAAATAACATTTTTTGCACAACTACAGATAAACTGAAATGTCTGAAATTTAACATGGACCAACACAGTTCAAAATGATGACAAAATTATAAACAAAACATGACATTTCAAAAGGTCCAAGGGCTTTAGCGGTCACCTGAGTCACAATTGTTCTTGTAACATGTGATAGAAATGATTTTGTTAAAAAAATATAACTTCAACCATATTGTACACATAATGCAAATGTGAAGTGCTGTTCCATGCTAAGGATTCTAACCAAGTTCGAATCAAAAGACATTAAATAAAAGAACTAAATTTTCCTACATAAAATCTGCTACCTATGAACATCATCAAAATTTCAGTCAATATTTGGCTCTGCCCATCATTCCCTGGGGGTCAGCGGAGGTCAATATGTGCATCTCATCAAACTGTCAGCTTATATCGATAATTCTTACCAAGTTTTAACTATTTCTAAAAGACAACAACCAAATTATGCTCAAAATGTAATTTTCCTATATAAACAACATTAAATTAAACCCCCTCGCCAAGTGGACATGTGAGACCCTGGAGTCGAGAAATTTACAATTTTGGTAAAGCACCGTTCTATCATATCTGGGATTTGAGAACATTTTTGAAGTTTCAATCAATCTGACCCTTTTTGGCCCGGACCATATAATTTACAACTTTGGTCACCTTTTAGCAATGAAAGGTTTGCTAAATTTTTATTGAAATCACTTCATGAGTTTTCCAGAAGACGTCGAAAATGCTGAAAGTTTACAGCACATGATGCCGGACAAAAGTGGATCGCAATAGGTCACCCTGAGACTCAGGTGATCTAAATACTGTTACATCTGAAAACTATTTGTTACACTGTATAGTGACATATCTTGTCTAGGATAATTTTCATGGGAAAATACAGCAATGCTGTAGGAGTCTTACCTGTAACACCAGATGTGGTGGAAGTGCTGCTAGTTGAAGTGCCAGTCTCTGTCTTTTTGAAGCTGAAAACAGGTGTCGATCCAAACGTGAACCCAGCTGATGTTGGTTCTGAAGCTGCCGTGGATGGAGCAGATTTGGCATTGTTGGCAGACGTGGCTGGTGGCATTCCGAACTTAAAACCACCAGTGGCAGGTCCACCAAATTTAAAACCAGATTGCCCTACAGAAGTTGGGGCTGCTGATTTGATATCTTCTGGTTTTACTCCAGGCTTTAGCGCATTACAAGCCAAACATTTCTGTACATTAGCATCGTTGGAGACATAACATCCATTACATTCCCAGCTCCCAGCAGTAGGTTTGAACATCTCACTTAATGACTGCTGCCTAGTTTCACTGCCAACTGCCGACTTCAATACTGATGTTGTTTTTGTTTCTGCACTTGATTCTGATGGGGTCATTCCAAACTTGAAGCCACCAACTGGTGATACTCCAAATTTGCCATCACAATTCTTGCTACTTTCCTCTTGTTGAAACAGTTCCTTAAGTGTCTGTCCTTTTGATGCCACATTTGGAATCACCTTGCCAGTGGAGGGTTTGATCATCTCTGAGAGTGATGTCTTATCTTTGTCTGGTTTTTCCTTTTTCTCAGTAGGATCTGGTAAAGATGAAGGATCCTGCTCTTGTTTTTGAATGTCTGCTTGACAATCCTCAAATACCTGTTTGAACAAGTTAGCTTGATCTGGGGTTTTGAACCTGACTGCGAGACGCTCTGTCTTCAGTTCACCTTCAGCATAATCCATGGCTGTCCAGCACCATGCTCGGTCAGAGCTGGCCATGGGAACTAGCTTCATGGCTGTTGTGAGCTTGTGGTTGGCACATAACTTCAGCACCTGTTCTCTCCTCATTAACACCCGAACCTGTTTCGTATTACGATGTCTCAGTAACTTGATTTCTCCAATGCCTCTCTCTTTCCATTGGTTAGTTTCTGTGTCATATCGGTAAAGTTTAGAACGTTCTCCAAATATCTTTTCCTCCTCTTCTTCTCCAGTTTTTACCTAGTACAGAGATTGTTAAGTATGATTTCTGTATAATTCATAATAATTGTGGGTGATTTCATTTTGATATAATTGTGGTTATCAAGTACAATTGAAAACTGGAGGACATTAAATCTTGAAAAATATCGATGATAAATATTGGTAAGAACTGATAGACAAACATGAATATTAAATACCCGTGAAACAGCCTGGACTGGAATACTATATGTTTAATGAAATTTAACATCTATAAAGTAACCTGAAAAGAATTATAGAATTATAACACTTGCAATTTTTATCTGAAAATCTTTACAAATGATCCTGAAACTGTTTAGCTATGCATTGCAGTACTCACCTCAACCAAATCAGGGAGATCAATGATGGGTTTGAAGTCCACTTTCGGTTCGTATTCTTCAACCACATCATCATCCTGTTTGCCAGGTGACTTTAAGGGACTAGTCATAGGAGACTTCTGCACTGCAGTACTGGCTGGACGAAACATTCCTGACTGTGGGGATGACTTTGCTAGACTGGCAAAGTCTGTGAATGGCGTTAGATTTGGGGAATCTGTCTTGGAGCCAGAACTGGTTCCTGTGGGAACCTCAGCACTACGTAATGGTGACTGATGGATGTCAGATGTGTCCGGTGATTTGGAGGCAGCCATGAGACTAGTGAACAGGGGCACGTTTCCAGGAGAAGTGGTCTGACCTAGGGAAACCATCGACTGAGGTTGACATATGGACACTGGCTTTCCTGCAAGCAGTCATTTTGGTCCGTCAAATTTTAAATTCAAACAAATTAACAATACATGATGACATCAACCAAAAGTCCCAACACCCAAACACTTTAATATACAACTGCAGCTAATATATTACATGGACCAGACTGGTTACTGCAGTTTAAGGTCAATTGAAGAGCATTCAGTATCACATAAAGTTACATTGTTTAGGAATTTAAGATGGTCTACAAACTCATTCCTGGATGTTTCACTGATAGTATATAATTTCAACAAATCACATCAGTGATATTTTATTTGCAGCTCTTCTCTTGTCCAGCGAATACCTACCTTCAAACAAGTTGTCCTTGTCAGCTTGACCCATGTTTGATTGTGCCTGCATACAAGAGGTTGTCAACACATTGCCTGGTATAGAGACAGTCGTTGTTGTGATCTCACTTGTTGGTGATCTGGTGAGGACGGCCATGAGAGCTGAGGGTTGTGATGTTTGAGGTATCACCATCCCTGAACGACTGGCCATTGGATATGTGGGATCCTGGGACTTAAACACGGCCGTAGACGACTGGGGAAATGAGAAGAATCCTGGTCCTGGCATTGGGTGTGAAGGAGGTTGGGATGAGGGGAGGCGTTGTCCTGGCATTTGTGCCATACTAGGCTGTTTGATGGTGTACTGTAGAGACGGTCCACGCAAAGCATTTGCAAACATTCCAGGCTGCGGCATAGCCTGATTCTGTTGACCAGAGGGAGTGTAGGTGATGGTTGATTTCCCTACAAGTAAGAGTGATATACTACACTTGTCTCATGCAAAACCTTTAATGATAAATTGAACAATCTTCCATCGATTTTTATATAAACTGAATGCTTCTTTTCTTAATTAAGGTCCAATAATAACATTTTGGAATTGGATAGCTTGGTTTTTACAACTGGAATAACTCTGCCCATATTCCAGTTATGTGTATGCTCAAACCCTAAATAACTGACCCTTCAGTTAACTTTAATACATACCCTCTAACCCTGCACGATGACCAAAGGGCCACTCCTGACTAAGCTGTGGTTCACTGTACATGTTGTGGGGAGGGGGCTGTGAGCCATCATCCTCATAATACTCTCCATCAATGTGGTAGATATCATCCTCAACAATATCATTCTGGTGTGACATTTGGTTCACTGTTGGTCCCACAGGTGGCTGGGGAGTCAGACGGTTGGCAGGTGGATATGGACCCATTGCCCCAGGATAGGGAGCAAGTGGAGCTCCAGGAACTGGGGACATTTGGTAGCCATAGTTACCAGGAGGAATCCATGACTGCTGTTGAGGGGGGTAGTACTGTGGGGGTCTGAAGGGGGTAGGTCCTATAAATCTCCCTGCTGCAGAGCCACGGAATGATACTAGGAACTCCTGCATCAAAAGTAGTGTATTGTTACAATATTGACCGTCATGTTTTCATCAAAGTTCAAAATATGAAGCCTGGATATGGCTTGATGTATCTTTCTTGAAGTACATATAATTCCTTATATGAGTTACAATTTGTACTGAATAACCCTCTGTCATAAAATTGATCACATATTGAATAGCAAAAAAACTTTTTATTTACAATCATGGGTTTTGAAATTTACATATTTCTGCTGAAAAGGAAAAGAAAAAATCTGAAGATATATACTTCCTTTGCTTTTGATCACAATGGCTATCCTTTCCTACATACCCCCTCCCTCACAACTCTTACCTTCATCTCCTTAAGTATGTCATTATTTTGGGCCATTTCCGCCCTCATTTCTTCCTGCATATTCTTGATGGCATCCTGTACCGTTCTCTCCCAGTGCTTTTTAGACTGCTCTTGAAGCTCAATTAGGGTAGCCATTTTTTTCTCCAGTGCCCAAATTCTGGCATCAAGACGCTCAGGGCTTGGCCGTACATGTTGATTTGTCTACAATCAATGGTACAACACAATTTTCATTGAACAACAAAAATGATTTTATTCTTAAGATTCATTCCAGATGTTTTTGTAAAATCAATAAACATGTAACATTTGTTTATAAAATCAACAGGTTTGGCATGCAGAACTTATATGGAAACATTTAGGACAAAGATGGTCTCACCTCTCTATGCAGTGGAGCAGGGGTGCTCTGCTCAATGATGTTGCTGGCCACAAAACTGGGTGACTCCTTAGGGAAGAGAGACAATGGTTCTATGGAGCCCCCACCCCAGGAGCCACTGACATTAGCATTTCTGTTGATGGGTGTGCCATTTTGTCCTGCCCCAGGGGTTGTGTGGAAACTCTTTGGAGTGCTGAAACTGGGTGTGTCGTCATTTGAGCTGTTGTCAGCATTGTTGTTGACAGATATACTGTCTATCAGTGCTGCAAGGGCAATATAATTCACAAATAAGACAATACAAAATAAAGCATGGTTAAAAAGTGTATCTGATACAATGTGGGTGTAGGACTAAAGGTGCAAACTAACAGTCCTCGCATTTCTCAATTTTTCAACTTACTCAAAGACAGTATCAGCTTTAAATAATAAAATAACCATGGAGTCTCTATGGTGTAAAAGTGAAAGAATACAGGCTAACTTACAGGTACCACTGGGCATCTGCATTCGCTCAAGCAGACTAACTACTTCATCCAGAGTATTAGGAATTTCCTTGTGCAGCTCCTGTCAACAAATCATGGACAATTTCTACTGAACAGACCATACACTAAAACATTATCATAAACATTCATGGAAACCATGTATACTTAAATTTGAGGTACTCCTGCAAAAATCACTAGCAGTGAAACCTGATTTTATCAGTGACATTTTGCTTGTAGAACAACCTTTCCATGTAAAGGTTATGGTGATTATCAATGAAGAATTTGTGAGGGAAAATTAAAATGTTAAGAGAGTTAGCAATTGAGATTAGGGGTGTTATCACTAGAGCAATTGAGATTAGGGGTGTTATCACTAGAGCAATTGAGATTAGGGGTGTTATCACTAGAGCAATTGAGATTAAGGGTGTTATCACTAGAGCAATTGAGATTAGGGGTGTTATCACTAGAGCAATTGAGATTAGGGGTGTTATCACTAGAGCAATTGAGATTAGGGGTGTTATCACTAGAGCAATTGAGATTAGGGGTGTTATCACTAGAGCAATTGAGATTAAGGGTGTTATCACTAGAGCAATTGAGATTAAGGGTGTTATCACTAGAGCAATTGAAATTAGGGGGTGTTGTCACTAGAGCAATTGAGATTAGGGGTGTTATCACTAGAGCAATTGAGATTAGGGGTGTTATCACTAGAGCAATTGAGATTAGGGGTGTTATCACTAGAGCAATTGAGATTAAGGGTGTTATCACTAGAGCAATTGAGATTAGGGGTGTTGTCACTAGAGCAATTGAGATTAAGGGTGTTATCACTAGAGCAATTGAGATTAGGGGTGTTGTCACTAGAGCAATTGAGATTAGGGGTGTTGTCACTAGAGCCATTGAGATTAGGGGTGTTGTCACTAGAGCAATTGAGATTAGGGGTGTTGTCACTAGAGCAATTGAGATTAGGGGTGTTGTCACTAGAGCAATTGAGATTAAGGGTGTTGTCACTAGAGCAATTGAGATTAGGGGTGTTGTCACTAGAGCAATTGAGATTAGGGGTGTTGTCACTAGAACAATTGAGATTAGGGGTGTTATCACTAGAGCAATTGAGATTAAGGGTGTTATCACTAGAGCAATTGAGATTAGGGGTGTTGTCACTAGAGCAATTGAGATTAGGGGTGTTATCACTATAGCAATTGAGATTAAGGGTGTTATCACTAGAGCAATTGAGATTAGGGGTGTTATCACTAGAGGTATACATGTCCATATTATTTAAACAACCTAAGTCTCAGGCTGAAACAGCCAAAGATATAGACATACTTACTTACAAAACTTTTGTCCCCTCTTTGCTTCTGTTACTTAGTGTGACCTCTGACCCATTGCTTTACTCAAAACTTTTGTCCCGTTTGAATATGATGTTAATCTCTTGCTTTTCTTAGATATGTATGGCCTTTTTCAGTATGGTCTTTGACCCTTTGCTTCATTCACAAAACTTGTGTCCCTTTTAACTCTTTGTTTTTTTCTCACATATAATAGGGTGTTCCCTATGTGAGTATGTACTTACATGCTCTGTATCCCCCTGTATACGGTCTAGAGCAAGGTACAACATGTCCAAAGCACGTTCCAACAGAGCTTTTTTCTGATCACTGCCTCCTAGGGTGTCCATTGACACCTTGTTAGCCAAGGTTCTAAATATCTACCAAAATAAATTGTTCACAGTGAAAGAAACAGAAATATTCAAGACAGCCTCACGCCTTCACACACATCTTTATTGATTCAGCAGTGTAATAACATTTATTCGGTAAATTGCATGATTGAAACTATTGATAAACCTGGGTTATTTTTATCAGTGTCTAATTGTTGCTGTAGGATATCAAACTGGCAAATTTAAAATGAGTTACATTATATATTTATTTCCTTCTTTTCAATGGTGAAAGTATAAAATGACAATAGTAAGATTTCTGCTTTTGACACAAAAAAATGGCAAAACAAATTAGACAGTATAATGCTTATCTAAGATCACCTCATTAGCAGGTTAAAGATTATTAACTGTCTTACTGACTGTTTGTGTATTCTGCTATACCTGAGCCAAGTAATAGGTAGCTATAGGTTTCTTAGAGGTTTCAAACTTTTCTTTGGCCTCTTCAAGACGTCCTTCACGCATGTCAAGCACTGCCAATGAAAATGTTGCTTGCTCCTTTAGATCAGAGATCTTGTCAGCATCAAGGTTGACCTGGTTGCCATCGACAAACATGCGCTCCTTCGGGTAGCGATAAGGCAAATTTCTGATAAAGAAAGTGAAATTTATGACTATTGAAATTACAGTATTGTAAGAATTAAAATATCCTTCCTGTGATCAAGTCGGACAGGCGAAATTGGTGGAAACACCCCACTTCAGTGGATAATCTCTTTAATTTATAAGTATTGAGAGGAAATGAACAGCATTCTGTATAACAGATCCCAAAATGACCAAATACAATGCAACTCACTTTTCCAAGCGTTTGAGCATCTGCATGGCTTCCTTCCAATAGAACACAGCACGGCCTTCCATGGCTTGAGGTTTAGTAGGATCGCAGACCCCATCTTTCTTCAGTGTCTGAGCCTGTAAATAACCCATAATAAACACCTTTTCTATAGGTATTTCTACATGTACTGTGCTAGGAAATTAAGGCATCTCAAGATCTACTCTCCATCAACCTTCAGACTCATTAATCATCAACCAAATTGTAATCCAAATCTCAAATTGAATTTTATAATAGAATCCTACATTTTCGAAGGAATTCAGGTTTTTACAAAAATATCAAATTTTGCTGGCACTTGATTTTGTGGATGAATCTTATGAGATCCACAAGTAAAAAGTCCTTGTCAATTTCTATTGTTTTATTATTCCATGGACATGTAAATTGTGGATTAACAAATACCCGTAAAATCAACAAAAATAAAATTTCCACAAAAATTGTTTTATTTTACAGTAACATTGATAACATTCCTATCTCTCTCCTCACTCAAAAACCATAAAGCTTCCTCACCCTTCCACTCCTATCTAAAATAATTCTGCTGTTCCACATTGCCTCCTCCTATCCATTAGTACTACTTATCAAAGTATCAAAGTTTCTTTCATATTTATCCTGCAGTAAGCCCAGGGGACAAAGAAATCACTTCCTATACAAACTTTGTGGTGAGCTCATAGTATAAAGAAAACCACTGGTTTGTAATAAGGACAGTGGCAGATTTTCCATTGCATCAAATTTCTTTCTGTCTTCTCTCTCTCCAAACTACAAATTTTACTTGTGCATTGAAGTGTACAAAGGAACTTACCCATTTATCAAATGTTTGAGCAAGATGGGTTACCAGCGTCAGCCCCATGCCGTGTGCACCCACCAGACGAATTGTCTCCAAGCCCTGTTGAATTGTTAGTCTTAGTTTTGCATAATTGTCACGTGGTGTTCCCACACTGAACTTATACATAGCCTCCCACCAATCACCCTGCACCTTACTGCACAGTGACTGACTGAGGCATGCTGGGAGGAATTGAGGTCGGTAGCTGTCAGGACGGAAGCTCTTGTTCTGATCCTCATAGGCCACAGCAGCACATCGTACCGTAGCACAGAAAAATGCCTGGAAAACAACAGAAGATTTATCAGCAACAGAAAAAATAAATATAAATTTACAAGGTGTCATCACTGAAGTAGAAGACACCTTGTACAACAGCTAGGCTAATTCTTGTACTTTTTTAAATGTCCCTGTAAACATCTCCATAACACTTTGCCCTATTTAGTTCTCTGCACAAATTTTCCTATTTTCCTGATGTATGCAGCTTGCTAGTCTAAAACAGACAAGTTGGTGCAGATGCCTTCATAGGACAAAATCATTTACAATCTGGAACATAATGGCAAAATACATGTATTGTTTTATTCAAAATATTTGACTACTGAGATTTGATTTTACAATATTTTGATCTCAGAGATATTGTGTATTGGATCATTTTGATTTTGCAAGGATTTGAATTTGTGATAAGGTGAGTAACTTACCTGTACATCCACCTGTGATAGAGACTCTGGCGAGCCACTGTTCAAGGTTGTACTGGTATATGGCAGCTTGGCATACAGATCCATCCCATCTATTATGAAAATAACCAGGTAATTGAAGGTAAAAATGATGTTACCTCAGTATTTATGTGAAATCATTAATGAAGGTTGGTGCTTATTTTAATCTACAAATATGTATGTCCATAAAATTAACAGATAAAATTACTTGCTTATAGTACCAGCGGATTTCAGGAGCAAGATTTCACCTCAAAATCAAGTGCCAACGAAAATGCACTACAACTACAAAATTTTAGTCCAGTGAAAATATATGATTTCACAATATGTATCTTTTGGATGTTTTTTCAGTTTTTCCCACCAAATGCTTTAAATTCTCATGGTTTTACCAAAGCTTGAAGAAACATACATACATTTTTCACTAAAATCACAAAATGGTACATATTTTCTTATGAACAGAAATTTCGGGGTATCTGTATATGTATCCTAATTTCCAAAAACAGTGTAAAATAAAAAACGTTTGAAATAGCACTTTACAACACACCTCTAGTCAGATAAATATTGGACATATACCTTTTCACCCCTGTCTGGGTGTTTTCAAGAGATTTAGCGTGGTTAGATTCAAACGATACTACTTCACAATGCTATTAATAGATATATATAATAAATATAGATAATGCAAGACATGAATGTACACAGTAACATTTCATTTAATCTTACTTACAATATGGCTGTGTGGTGTCCCGTGTGTTGTAACTCTGAAGTGCCTGCCACACTAGGACATGCAAATTATCACCATACAGCAATAACACATCTGGAAAAGTGTAACATCAAATACTTTCAAAATCTTCTCAACATCTCAGACTTACTGCACATTTGTCATGGGTGAGACCCTCCTAAGATAATGGTTTTTTTTTTTATTTCATATACATTAAAATGTAAACTATGACCTAACAGTATAGATGTATTTTTCACAACAGACAAACTACCATACAAACCTGTTTCTTATAACTGATAATGAGTCAGTACAACTAAGGAATAATTGCCAAAGTCCCACACTTTTATAAATATACCTCCAAAAAATATAACAAATTTAGAAAAACAAAATGCCAGGATTATACAGGATTAACTTTACCTCTACAAACACTTTCCCTACTTGGTTTAGACCATAATTATTTTCTGATTGAAAACAAAAAAACAAGGAAATTGCTGTGGGGTGTAAGATGATCCTCAATACACCACTACCTACCTTTGTCATACTGTGTCACCACAGCTCTGGAGGGTACTACTACTGGTACTTTGTGGAAGGTGTCAGAGTTCAGTATGTATGATTTGTCCTTACGATCTCTCATCTCCCGTAGTGTGAAGAGTGTATCATAGAAAACCTCACGTGCTCGAGGTGTCTTCAGCTGCTGTTTAATATGCTGCAGACGAGCAACACTGTCAGACTTTGTCATGGCAAGTACCAGGTAACCTAGGTAGCAGGAAGGTTAGTATCAGGTTATAGGTAACAAGTCATCATGTACCAAGTCACCATGGTAACAGCAAGGTTAATACCAGGTATCATATGTAAAACCTCATCAAGCAACAGGTATTCCAGGTAAAAGAAAAGTTTCCATCAGGTCACATAGGTACCATAACACAAGCAAGGCCAATGTCATGGAACACATTGTAAATGATTTAACAAGAAAACCAATTGTTTCCAGTTTTGTCAACAAGCAACACTTAGTTTATTCAAATGCCTCACAAAAAGATTTTTTTACTCTACTATCTAACAAAAATTCTCTTACCCCCTTGGCTGTGTCTGTAGGCTCCGATCTTGTGTAATCTGTCGAAGAACTTGCGATTGTGCTGTTTTAGCTGTAGATACCAGGCAGCTTTCACATCAATGGCTGGATACTGACTGCTCAGCAACAGGCAAACAGTTGCAAAGAAGCTGGCATCTTTCCAAAGAACCTGGCCCTACAACACCAAATACACTCAATGATGATTTTTAAGGTTCCCATAGATACATGTCACATTTGTAGATATAATTTTCATTTGTTTTTTATACAAGCCAAATATGCAAAATACAGGATGCTCAAGTCAAACCCTGACCCTGCACCAACACTTTGTATTTGACACGATACAGAGAAAATTTTGTTTATCCCTTAATATTTAAGAAAGGGTTAATGTTATTCCAGAATTCTGAGGAATCCATGTTTTGTTTAGGGTTACCATCTGTTCAACTAATAATTTATTTTGAAATAAAAGACAAGAAACACTTTTGTTGAGAGTAAGATATTTTTATCATTAAGTTATCAATTTGAGATGTGAGACGTGACTGATTAATACTGATAGTTTAAGATAAATTCAATATTATGTTACAACAGCATCTGTTCATCTTTGTATATTCAAATCAGTTTTATATTCATTAAGACAACGATTTATTATGATGACTATTTTCATTTCACAATGTATAATGAAGATTACAAATTGGTCAAAGAAAAATAAAAAATAATTTCCTGGGCCTTTTCTTAATATATGTTGGCAGCTACTTGTCTTGTTATTCATATATTTCTAGCATGATAGATATAAAGTGTTAAAAAGGATCATTCCCTAGTTTGAGGTTGGGACAGAGAAATCTTCATCCCCGGAGGAGATTCCTGACAGTCTAAACCTCAGCAAAGCCTCAGGTAAGTCAGTCGTGAATCTCCTTTTCATATAAAGATTTCTCTGTCCTATCCTCAACCTAGGGAAACATCCTATTAATCTGTCAAAACGTAAGACAGATTTAGATGTACTATCATTTCATGATCCTGGGGCCTTGGGTCAAGTAGATGTTTTACTAGAATAGTAAATTATCCAAACTAGGGAGCCAAGTCACGACTTTAAGTAAAATCCTAACATCACACTCTGTGTTTTTGTAGTTTACATTTATTGATGAAGTCTAGTAAAAATGGGGAAAAAGTCAGCTTTTGCATTTGTTTGAAAAAATATAAGAGAAGTCTGGAACAACTCACCTTCTGAGCCCGTTTAAATAGAACTAGTGCAGACAGGAAGTAGATTTGTCCCTCCATCTCTGTGACTACAGCACGCCATTTAGGTCTCTGGGAGGACGCTCTAGCTAGTTCAAATAAGCACTGATCAAACCTGTGAATGGAATGTATAAATAAAACAATAATATTTAGTCTTAACCTCAGAATCTTTTAGATAAATCAAATCTTACTACATCAAGTATCAGTATAGTGTTACAATAACAGGCAGCGGACTGCTATAGGCTATACTTACTGGTGTAGAGCTGTGGCACAGGTCACAACATCATGGTCAGACATCATCTGGAATACTAAGTTTTGGAGGGCAAATAGATGATGGATGTAGATGTCATCACTACCCTGCTCCCTCTGGTGGTGAACCTAAAAAGCAGCCAAGTCACACCATCAGTATTTCCGTAACATACAACTGTAATATGTTTCATTTACATATCTAGGACCTGTTTCATTAATTACAAATAGCCATGAGTTACCATAGGAACAAATGAAAACAAAAATTTGTATTGAATTGTTATTGACACAGTTTATAGCTTCCAACTTCCCTTCTTGAATTCTAGCATTGTATGAGAATGAAGACAAAAATGTGAAATAAAATTCCCAAATCATCATTTTCTATCTCAAATTTAGCCTAATAACTGAAAAACAGGAACCAAACAGATATTTTACAACTTGACATTACAGAAGATGCTCAAATCTAGTGTGATAATGTGTACAGATTTGACCTTTCAAGTATGACCTTGATGTTATACTTGATTAAGACATTCAAAGCTTAAGACTTGTATCAAATACAATGACAGTTCTTAATAGGAATACTGTTTTAAAGAAAAGAGAAACAGAAATTCTTATCCAAAAATAGATCAATATTATAAAACACAACATGACCATCCAGTGGAATCCGATATTTCTGCAAACTTACACTGAATGCCTTGATTAAACACTTGTACCAGGCTGCATTTTGGACAAATGCTAGAGTACGCTCAACCTCGATTCCATGGTTCACTGCTGCCTGGACACGGTCACTTGTCAGGTACAACTCCATTAACTTGATGTGCAAGCTTGCATCTGTGTAATTCTTTTCCTTGAAACAACAAAACAGACATCAGTACCAGTGCTGCTGGATGTTCAATAAAACACCTCTTTGTGAAATTATCCATGAAGTTCCAAGTTAGATTTTTATGTAGGAGAAAATATTAAAATGCTACGGTTATCTTTCAGAGTAAAATAAATATGGATTTTTTGCCAAGTAAAACATACCAGCTGTTTTGAGTAGAGTTCTTCAAGCTTGTCAAGATCTGTCCCAGAACTACTTGACAAAATCTTTTCCTGAAACAAGACATTTTTTCAGTTAATTTGTTTATTGTACCAACCTTCTCATCAATATAAAAATGTCAACAGAAATCAACAGTGTAACAATGAGAAGCTGAAAAAGGTTAGATTTTTCAAGAACTAACTGAACAACAGAATGCAATTTTTAATGTCAAACTGAACATTTTAACAGCAAATGTCTTTTCTTAAAGTGACTGGGAAAATAAAATTAACATTTCACCATAAATGTTTCATTGACCAATCATCAGTAACTGAGCATTCATCTAAACATTTTCAGTAAGTGTATAATGTCTAATTTGTCATTGATATTTGGTTCAACACTTCTGAAAAGCAAACAATCTTTTCATTGTTCAGTAGAAAATTTTCAAGAGTGTAGTGTTCAATTACATCTTGGTGAATATCTGACTTCCCATTTTTCAATCAATTTCATACTCATTTGTTTTTTATACATTTCACTTATCCATATATGTATATATCTTAAATGAGTTTTCATTTCATACAAGATTTTATACAAGTCTTTGAGGTTTTATTTTTGCAAGCTTTGGCGTGCAAAAATTATAAATTTGAGACAAGTTTCATAAATCTCATATGAAATGAAATCAAATTTAAGATACTGTTTATCACAAAACTCAGAAAAGTTACATTTCGATAGGTTTGAAAGTTACAATGAGGATGAAAAAAAATCATATGGAGGCAGCATTTTGTTGAACCATTCTCAATGCATGATGTAACATAATTGTCCTTTGTCCTTATTACGGTATCATAATCAATTTCTGACTTGTACAGACAATGAAAAATACTCCAGGGTATCACACTAGTGACATGTATGCAAAAACATTACAGGGATGAATTCAATGGATAACAGGTAGATTATGTCATAAAGAACATAATATCACTACCACAAAATGGTATTTGACTCTACTGTATCCAATTCTAAATTTGTATGAAAAAGTGCTATTCACTTGTGTAACTTTATAATAATCTTTGAAGAGAAATATTTCTTTGTATGTATACCAAACACACAGCAACATATCAAACAAGCAGATGAATCTTAACAATACTATAATATATCTAAAGAAAAATTTTCTGGTGTGAAATTGTGTATTTTCGTTGGGCTTATTTTTTTCTTAACAAATCATTATTTCATGGATGTTTGATTTTGTTAATCATATACAGCTCAATAAATGTACTTGTGTTAATTTTATCAGTTCATGGAAATATGAATCTGTGGATTAAGAATACCCACAAAATCAATTAAAAGAATCCAACACGAAAATTAGTGATTCTAGTGATTAGTGACATGAAGTAGAACAATAATCCTCAGCCAGATAAGTTCTGAATACTTACTTTCAACTTGAAGACGACTGGATTGTTTGGGAATACTTTCTCTGCCTTCTCTGCCCAATACTGAGAACAGATAATAACAATATGAAAATTACATAACTTGATGAAATGGTAAAGTTTGAGGTGCTTATAAATTCCTCACTGCATGCACCACAATATTGAACCTATATGTTTGTAACTCACCTTGATTCTCTGAGCATCATCAGAGGGCATAGAACTCAGCACTTCACAAACTGAAACAGAGACAGAGATCAGATAGTGGAGGCTTAACCAAATAATGAAATTCATTATCAATGAACTTTTTAGATTTTATTGATTTCTATTCATTATTTTTTTATTATTATTGTTATTGTTTTTTCATTCTTTAAACTTTATGATTTGTGACAATGGCCTTCATAAGAGAGAGACTGAATCACGATCTAACATGTAAGGGATATTGGCCGTACTGAGTAATCATGATGATGGAGAGATTCATATACAAAGATTTGGCTGACATTTTAACATAGTGCTAATGTCAACAATCAATCAAAAGGCAGTGATCTATTAAATACCTATTACAGGCACCTACTTTTTAAAATGGTTCCCTTCTGTGAGTTGTCCAACTCCAAGCACCTTTAAAAGTCATGAAGGCAATTTAAGATTGATGAACAAATTGAATTGAAAAAAATACATGTAACAAGATGTGAAATCAAAATTAGAACTTCTGATTGCTGTACTTCTCACTATAAGTCTAGATCAGGTAAATGCTTCTTATGAATTATTCTAGTAAAACATTTATTTCACCCAATGATTCTAAGTCTTGTTCTGGTATCGCTACATTTATAACAGAATTCATATGCAGGATACAGGTTAGATCAGCTATGTGGATAGAAGTAATTTATTTTTTAGTTTTAGTCATCATTTTCTTCTTCCACTAGATTTCAATGTTGCTGTGTTAAGCCCACCACATACAATGAGTAGGAAGTTATATATTGTCCCTCTGGGCTTACAGTAAAATAAATGGTATCAGATCCCCCTCACACTGACCTTTTATAGCAAGCTATAGCCTGTTCCTTCTCCTGTAGACCCTCACATATCTGTGCCATTAGTTTGTGTGCCTGGGGCAGGTCATCTCTCACACTCATGTAGAATGTTAAGTACCTAAAATGTTCCATATTTCCTTATCAAAATTAAGTTTTTATTATACTACATGGCAATACACAATAACACAGTCTACAATATGTGTTAATATATATTTCTAGTACAAACACTCTGTACAAACAGTGAGTGACCAGATGATAGAATGGTGGGTAATTTGTTCAAATTTCTCTCTTTGCACAATTTCATCATCCAGCCAGGGTCATTCAGAGACTAGACTAATACAATCTGTAACTGTATGTATGTGATATCAACTTATCTCTGTTCAGGACTGACATTCCAAACCAATATCTCATTTGAAGCGAACCCCTTTTTCTCATATGTTATACATGTATGCCAAAATTGCATAAGCTGTTCTCAACTGGTTCCAATTTTAAATTCTCGGTTTGTTTGTATTACCTTCATTTGTGGTAAGGCAACAGGACTACTTTATATGACATTATTTGAATAGTAATGTTGCTTGGCACCAAATATCATATACAGGATATAGCACCAGACAGATCACACAAGACAGAAAAATCTAGCACTGGGTAGTGTGCAAGACTTCCCTGTTTCATATACAAGATATCCTTTTAGTACCTGATAGCTATTTAAATGAACAGCATACAGAAAGCCAATCACATGCCATCAAGAGCAATTAGATTTGTCTTGCTCATGAGCACAACCATGACAGCCAAGACCAGTCTGTTTTACAACTTCCTGAGGAAGCACAAAATTCCAAAGGATGGGAGTGTTCAAATTTCCAAAATGAATTATTTACAAAGTCTGGAGTGTATTTGCAGAATGTCTCGGACTAATTTATTTTGTAACCAAAAACTTGTCAAAAATTATTTGTATATGGAACGATCAACATGCAGGTCTTTTTATCTGTCTGCTGACAAGTCTCACTTTGGGGAAAAATACATGTCTGTAAGTATATCAAATGTACTGTATCTTACTTTTTGGCAAGGTCATATTCACCAATCTCTGCGTAAAGAACAGCAACTTGATAACCCCTCGCACTGATCTGAAAGATTCAAAATATACATCTGTTAAAAACAAAACTGCAAACAGCAGTAAAAACATCAGGTACATAGTCTGGGCCAAACCAGGAGACAAGATCAATAAACCTACAACCAACACATCCTCAGCTTGTTGTGGTTGATACTTTCTAGTTAGTCCCCTTTTCCTCAATAGCCCTGCATACCGAGTGGTATCTGAGTGTGGGATATCAGGAACACCCCAACCTACACCAAGAACCACAGCGTTGGCTCTAGTTTCTAGAATTTATGTCTTACTAAGGTACAGGTGTTTGTGCCTATAACTTACCAAGACACCGGTGTTTGTGCCTATGTCTCACTAAGGTACAGGTGTTTGTGCCTATAACTTACTAAGGTACAGGTGTTTGTACCTATATATTACTAAGGTACAGGTGTTTGTACCTATGTCTTACTAAGGTACAGGTGTTTGTACCTATGTCTTACTAAGGTACAGGTGTTTGTGCCTATGTCTTACTAAGGTACAAATGTTTGTCACTATATCTTACTAAGGTACAAGTGTTTTTGCCTATATCTTACCAAAATTTTAGCAATTTTTGTTAAGGAATTAGCCATTTGCTGGACCTACCCTAGAAATTGCTTTTATCCATAAACAACTAGGCAGGTTTGAGAGCTGGGGCACATATGAGGAAATGAAGCAAGTTCTTTAAAATGCTTCCTATTTAGGATTCTGTCCCATTTCTTGTCTGAAACAACTTAGGGTGAAGGGGACTAAATTTTGTATACAAACAGTCGGTCTTGATTCCCCATGGGCTGGAAGAACAAAGCCCTCTTTGGAAAATGAAGCAAATTCTGTAAAATCTTTCTTTTTATGTAGGAATATCAGGATTCTGGCACAATTGGGTCATAAGCATCCTTGGGTGAAGGAGACTTTTGGACAAAAGGTTTGGCTGACCCCTTTGGGGCAGAGGGGTGAGGTCCAGTAGAGGAATAAGTAATGCCTGTAGAGTTTCCATTCCTTTTGTTTGGATAAACCAAAACAAAGCCATGTGATTCACAATTTATTCGTGCATCAAGTTGTTGACATGTTTCATATCCAGACATGGGAAGGGGCTGTTTGTGTTGTCTTTACTCTCAACCTACATTTTTTCACTTTTTTAGTGAGTACTTGGTATACTTTTTGTATCCACAACAGTTCCTAGAAGAATTTACTGAATATCAATGATTGTGGGACGCTGTCTCCACACCCGGTATAGATGAAACTTTGTAAAATGTATACATTTTTCATAAGTGATATAAATATCTTATTTCAATTTTTGTTACATATCTGTAAAAGGAGCAGGTCAGTGAGGCTTGTATGTAGTGTTAAATACTGTCTCTGTTAATCAGCTGACAGAGCATGCTTCTTTGGCTCAGTTGATAAAGCCAGGTGGTTATCAGACTGGAGACCAAGGTTTGATTCCTGGTTGGGGTACCTGACAGGAATATTTTCTTTCCCTGTTCATTCATACATCCAAAAAGTTAAACATTCCTCAAGGTTCTTTCATACACTCTAAGTCAATTCAGCTTCTTCAACCTATTTCCATTTTTGTGAAGTCTTCAAACCTCCAGGAATGAAGTAATAGGATTTCTTTAAATTTTGAAGTAGTTTATTCAGATTACTAGAAAAGACTTTCTATAAAATGTGTCTTCCATTAGTTCTTAGAAGAAGAAACTGAAAGTAAAAGTGATCAACTTAACAATTCTAAACCAAGTTAATTCAACTTACATCTAATACTTTTATGTTCTACATTGGACTGAATATAATAGTGTCCTAATTTGTGAGGAAACTAGAAAACCTCAGTTATCTGCACCGCATTTTTTTTTTTTTTTTTTTGTTAGGGGATATTTCACTGTGTCAGACTGACATTGACATATACACTGTCCTTGTTGTCTTTCCGAATGATCAGATTTTATTATATCTCTGGTGTATTAACCAACACAGAATCAAACCCGCATAGGCCACATTACTGATTCTTTTGCTAAGTCACTAGACCTACTATTACTGTATACGTCGACCTGTTCTGACTCTTGTTCTGGCCACATCTAGTTTGAACCAGTCATGTGGTCCGTTTCATCTTGATTTTCCAAAAATCTGTTTTTGTTCATAACCATACATAACACATCCAACTGCCGAAATGCATTCTTTTTTCAAATTTTTGATAAACAACGAAGCATTTGACATGGGGGTGGTGGGCACGGGGGGGAGGGGGGGGTTGATCAATGTGCACTAGTTTGGTAAATTTCGCTGAGGACAAGTTTGAGGTAAACTAAAAGCATTTTCTTATTGGATCATTCACACAGTAGTATAACATTAAGAAGGCTACTCCGTGTAACGTATATTATGGTCATCAATACGGTTAAAAAGCACTTTATCAACTCCTACTTTGCATTTTTTGATGGCGCAATAAATATCTAAATATAGAAACCAGAAATCAGTTTCTGAGAGGCAGTATCACAGTTTACCTGATCTTCTGGGAATTGACTGATGAATCGGTCTATGTCCTTTTTACTTCTCCGTGTTGTCGACATGCTTTTGTATGGTCGGTAAGTATATTGTTAAAAGAAAAACTTATTTTTGTTTGATGGCCCTTTTCCAGGTTTGTATTTTTAACATGCCGGCTTCCTTTAACCAATCAAATCAACCCTAACAAATCTTTCGAAAATATCCAATCATGACCGCCGTCTCTCCTACTCGCAGCTTATATAATATAATTTATACCGTTTGTTGATGAATGTCAGAGTTACTGGAAAGTTTACTTCTCAAAACATGCACATCTGTTTATATTTGTATTTTGTGATTATAAATTTTATTTTGAAGGTATTTTGCAATAACGACTATTTCGCACAATGTGCTATTTGCCGACACGAACGCACCCGGATGGAAAATACTAAACATAGGTCTAGCAGCTGTATTTTTCCGGAAAAAGTTCTTGGAGGGTCGGGGGTGGGGTGGGGGGGTGGGAGGGATATATGTACACTGTCTTAATCACACAGGCCACGTTTCGAGTTTGATCGGACATTTGGGCAAACCAGACGCTATCTTTAGTTTTGAAATTACTCAGGAAATCTTGAAAGAATATTCTACATATGAGCAAGTGCATATTGGGTAGATTTTGCAAAGTCAGACAGAAATCTTTAACAAGACTTACATTGAATGATGGATACTTGAAATATCATCATCATCATCATCATCATCATCATCATCATCATCATCATCATCATCATCATTATCATCATCATCATCTATTACTATCATTATATTAAATTAATGATTTCCATTACTGCTTATACTCAAACTGGTGAGCTATGTGATCGTTCAGAGACTATTTTGAAATTTATATGATGGCCAACATGGTCGAAAGGGGTGTCTTAAATTTAAACATCCGACGTTTAAAATTGTTACCGCTTTAACTCGGAAGCCACGAAAGAGATCCAATGGTATTATCATCCAAACTAAAAACTCCGTAAAACTGGGGGAAGGGGAGAGAGAAAAAAAAGAAAGATTTACACGGAGACTCCAGAAAATAAAAGTACAAGAAGAGTAAGACCAGGTGTTCCGCAAGAGTAAGTGCTTTCTGTTTCATCGATGACATCCGCCATGTCAATTTTGGTCAGTTCAAGTAAGTAATGTCACGTCCTCAAATGAGAACAAGATATTCGACAACGGAACCAAAAGGCAAACTAACGAGCATGAAATACGTCCAGCTTCATATCGCACAAAGAAATGGAATATTTCTCAATAAAATCACTATGGCAACGATAAAACTCCCCATGATTTTCATCAACCTTCATTTATTTAAACCATGCGTTACGCATTTGTCCGTCAGTTGACACGTGCACGAAAACCATAATAATGAGAATGGGCCCTTGAATATCGAATCAACTGTGATATTCGTAAATAACACAGGTTTGGGATTCAGGGGATGTTGCTATCCAGAAATGGGGGGGGGGGCGGTCACAGTAAGGAAATTGAAAAATTAAAATCATCACTCTTATCATATAGCTTGGTTACACGAATAAAATGCGTACTTATACTTTATTTTCTCAAAATTAAAGAGGTTAAGCGAGCGTTTAGCTTAATCTTTAACACCATATCCTTTGTCGATCTGAACATGACTAATAAAAGTAATAAACTGGTGCATTCTGGTGGGTATATACAAATGGACGCGGTCAATAAATCTCTTGTTATTTAAAAAAGCAAGACATCAATATATTTGAAAGTGAAATAGAAGGACTTCGCAATGTCTTCGTTACCTTTTTTATAAGTATTTCAATTAATTCAGCCTCGTTAGAATACAAAACAAGTCAATCCAAAGTCAACACAGTTCAAACTGTAAAATCTTGAAACTCGAAGAAAATATTGTCAACCAGAAATTCGATCATTTTTTCTCTCTCGTCTTTGGTATTTTTGATTCTTCTTTGATTTGGACTTATTTTTCACGAAGTACTCCTCAGTATAGTATTATGAAAGTTTCCTTTGAACGGTCACCACGGATAAAGCGACGCCTACTCTTATAATTTTCTATTAAAAAGCAGTGAAATGATGTTGATAATGAAACACACGTTAAATATTATAACACAGAAAAGATCATGGTGTCAATAGCTAGGATCACGTACCTCGCAATAACACGACGGAGGTCTTTCGTTTTCCTTAAAAATCAATCACCCGTTTATTGTCCTACACATAGGACCTCTTGTCTTACTGTCTGTGCTAATGCACTGATATAGAAAATGTCCACATTTTCATTCCACATTCAAAATTGAAAGCATAAACCCTTAACGTTTTTCATCTAGTTTTTTTTTTCGATTTTAAGGTGAAAGTACACAATTGTATCAATTATGGTAATGAATTATATTCAGCTTCCAAAAGGTTGGCACTTGTGTGCGTTGTGTGCCAAGATTGTATTAGTGCATACTGTTCAATGTGACACTATTATATATCCTGGATATTTTAGCAGATGATTAGCATTTAGGCCGAATCTGACATACTTCTTTAATTAATTCTCAGATGTAGTATATTTGACCTTATCTTTTGACGAAACAAACATACACAATGAAAGTTATGTACCATTATATAAATATCACTTCTTTGGCAAACGTTGAAGACAAGTGAGTTGGTACCGTTCTTATGCATAATGACATGAAACCATATAGGCATAGCGAATAAGTTGAGACTAATGAGAAGCAAACAAAAATAGTTACGTCCTATAACGCGGACTAATAGAGCAAATAGACATACAGAGTTCGTCCATAGAAAGCTGATTTGTTTGATTATTCTTCTATTTTTACAAATAATTCGTTGATAAAAGTGTTGTTGAAAAATATTGAAGAATGTCGGAAAGGTTTCGATTGTTTCGGATTTCTCTCAGTCGCCTCCCAGCTTAGACTAGAGTCCTAGAAGGACGAAACAGCTGTATGATGTAGCATCACTGACGAGTCCTAGAAGGACGAAACAGCTGTATGATGTAGCATCACTGACAAATCCCATAGGGACGAAATAGCTTGTAGTTTGGTTTATTGTTTGACTCACCCTATCTTATCTAATTTTTTATTTAAAGATGTTATTCACTCTTGTATCTTTTGTACAATCGATATTAATCACCGGAACAGTCGACCCTGTCGCTATCCCGTTCTCCTTCTACCACCTATACTTTTACTTATCCTTCTTTATTTACCCATTCAACTCACTTTACTATCTCATCTCGTCTGTTGAAGGTCGAAAGGCAGTGATAACGTATAAATTTCGTGAAATACATAGTGGATATAACACAGGCATATAGTTTATTTATCTTAATAAATTCATTACTATATGTTTACATGGATGTTGACTTTAATTTTAAGGCAAACTATTTTTCTTAAATTGCATGTGTATATCAATGGAGTAGATAGTATATATTGTTGATTGTTATTATTTGTTTATGATTCTCTCGGGAGGGAGATTAGTATGCTTGTATCAAACATGTTACCCCCTGAAAGTAAAGAATTATCACTATCCTTCAAAACAGAGGCATGAATCGAACGCACCCGTATCACTAAAAGAAATCCGAGATCATCCAATCGGTAGAATAAATTGCTGGAACGTTCTGGTAGGATAACTTTAGTTTTATTTGATAACAAATTACAAACAATTTTTTAAATATCCTCTAATGTCGGCATACTGCCAAAAGGATAGGTAACAAACGCCTATTATTCTGCAGTGTATGCTATATGAGTGAGCAGTTATGTAGAAAGCAGACATGTCAACTTGAGACTTTTGAATATTGTTACAACAAAATGACGAGGAAGTTTTGTGGGTTTTTTTTCTAAAAATGCTATTTTTTAGTTATAATTAAATACATTTATTGCTGCTACATTTACTACATTGTTGTGTAATGTTTTGTTCCTTATCATTGTTTGTGATTTATCATTGGTTTGGTATTTCAGTATAAGCTATTACGTGTCTGCATTTAGGACACAGTGCCACAACTAAGAAATTTGAGATTTAAGAGACAAGTACTTGACAAAAACAAAAACAAACAAAATAAGTGCAGTATATGTTAAGATAAAGCAGACTCGCATAGCTACATGTAAGTAGTGAAATTGATGAATATTAGAATTCTGATGCCAAGTCTGCAAACTTAAATGATACATTTGTAAAATTATATTTTTTGTGGGCTCAAATTTTACAGATTTGGAAAGAAACCATTTCATGGTCACTAAAGTTGACTTTATCTCAAAGTTAATACTTCAGAATTCTACAAACACTTACTTGAATAGTTAATTGACTATGAACATATGAATATTTTGGATAAAGAGTACCCACAAAGTCGATGGAAATTATATCCTCCATGATATTTGATGATTTTACAGAGGGCAGTTTCACACTATGAAAAGGTTGCACGTTCTTCAGGGCCACCTTGTGAGGAACAAGTTTATGTCCAGTCCTCAACAACAAGAGTGTTTTGCACCTGTTCAGAGTGCTAATGCAGCATGGAAGCAGTCAGTTGAACAGGTAATTTGATAAGTGGTGTAAAGTAGCCATTTCCAGGCTATATGATTACTAATAATCTTTGCACAGCATTAATGACCATAACCCCTAGAACTTGAAGGATGGCCATTCTAAGCAGTGATTACATTATCAGTGACATCAAATAATTATTTAATTTCTGGTTCTGGGTGTCAGTACAAGATTGTGGACAAATTGAATGATGTACATTTATTTGTCTGCAATAGGAGATATCGTGACCTGTTTGTAATGACGTTCTTTGCATCATTTGGAATATAAAAGATGTACACAGAAATGAAATCACTTTATGTTACCAATAATAAGTGTATCTAAGCTGAAAACTACCTACCTTTTATGCAAGAAAAGTTGTCATGATTGAGCAAACTACTGATAACTGAGTGCCTGGTGAATGTAAGGTTGACCCAGGAATATTGGATGAGTTGGGAGTACTGTTTGTGGGACCTTGATATCACCTGTAACGATCGGGGACATTATGTAAGTCATGAGTCAACTATTGATTTGTCACCTGTTATTGACGAGACTTTGATGTCACCTGTTATTTATGAGACCCTGATGTCGCCTGTTATTTATGAGACGATGATGTCACCTGTTATTTATAATACCCTGATGTTACCTGTTGCATGTGAGTCTCTGGTGTCACCTGTTATATATGCAGTGTTGCCAAATTGTTAGCCCATGAGTCTATAATATCACCTGTGATATATGTTGTACTCGATCTCCCATGATTCTACTAGTCTTTGATGCCATGCTCTTTTAGGTTTTCTTTTTTTTCAGTTACCATGGTAACTTGTTGTTTTGGTGCTCCCTAACCACTTCTTTGTCAATTTTGTAATCATTGTTTGTTTCAGCTTGGTGTAGAAATCAACGATCCTCCTGCTCAGCTTGAAACTGCCTTCAAAGCTCTTCTGACACTGGAGGCTGTAAAATTTCTTGATGAGTTGGTACGGGAGTTTCAGCATGCAGTGGACAAGGTAATATACATCAAAAAGTTTTACAGTCAGTAGTACAAACTATAATACATCACACAACTACATATAAGTTGTTCATCATCAGCTCGATATTGTTTTAGATTTATTTTTACAATTTCTGATACATGAAACATTTTACATTTCATTTTTACTTGTTTTTTTTTTAATGTTTTTTTTTCGTTCTCTCACCTCCTCCCCTACTTTTTTTTTGGTTTACAAAGAGTAAAGACTTGTATATTGGCCCCCTGGGCTTATTGAAGGATAAATAAGTTATATTGTATTTATACATAATGAAATGTGTGGATGTGAATGAAAATTTTTTCCAGTTTTCATATATCATATTTATGTGTTACCTCAATTACATCGCAATTTTGTATGCTCAATGATATAATTTTCGCAATAATAATTATCATCTATCTTCTGATTGGTAACAACGAAATACTTGGGAGGCGGTTTGAACAATTTTTAATACAACATACATTTAAACAAACTTTGATGATGAAAGTCAGTTTGTATGATTAGTGATTTCGTGGTCAGTAGGTCATTATTTATTTCTTTTGTTATTGGTGCTACGTGTATTTGTCTGATGATATCTTTGTGATTGCAATGTTCGTACTCGGAATTTCTTGAGAAAAAAGCGAAAGTGTAATGCACACAGAAAAAAGACCTGAAATACAGTATCTACTTTTATTTTGTGGATTTTGTTATTAAAAATGACCATTGAACTTTTGCATTCCAAATTTTACTGAAACAAAAAAAAAACAAGAAAACCTCAGTGATCTTTCACTGCTAATGATCTTGTTTGAAAAAGATGCTGATTCATCGCCAGTTGAAGAAGTTAAACCTGGACATTAATTGGAAGTTGCCTGATTTTCCCAAAGATGATCAAATTCGCCGGAGGAACTGGACTGTAGCTCCCATCCCACCGAGACTTCAATGTCGTCATGTAGACCTTGGGGATGTATCGCCAAGCAACATGGAACACTTTGAAGCTGCTTTGAAATCTACTGCTCAGGGAATACAGGTAGGGATTGTAGGAAATCTGTAAAATAGAACATTTAGTATTGTTAATGTAACTTGTCTTTTCAATTTGTCTTGGAGATATGAAATAAACTATCCAAATTTTTTAAAAAGAAAATGTTATTATTTTTACCTATTTTCTCACAAATTAAGTTTGATCAATTTCTAATAAAGGCTGTTTATAATATCTTGTCTTAGAGTTGATACACAATCCTGTTGACTAACTTAACAAGAAGTCCTTAAGTTAGTGATGAATGAGAGATATGCATTAGAAAGAGGACAAAAAAAGTTGTAGGAATTCCTGTGAACGTACTTTATTTAGTGCCATGAAATTTCAGCACAATATCACTTTTAGACAAAGTATAGCAATCAGGAATTTGCGCATTCACAATAACTGTTATTATAAACTATAAGCAGAGCAGGCAAGTAGTGCAGTCATGTTTTAGCATAAAAAATTCCTTGTGAAAAATCTAAAATACGATTGCCATTAAAATAAGTATACTGAGTATTGCTAAAGCAAAACATGTCCCCTACTGGCCCTCACAAGCTTTTACACTTACTTATTTGGAAAACAGAAATCAGTCTGTTCCTGATTTTAATGGAAAAATGCAATAAACAAGTGGAAAAGTCTCATCACCAATGTGTAATAATGTGGTGATTTTTAAGTGTGTGAAGTATTTATCAAAATCCTTACAGGAATGAAGTTGCTGGAACGTTGATAATTATTTTCTAAAAATAGTAATGGTGTCCTTGACCCAACAACAGTAAAACTCAAACTTGTCCAAGGTATTATGCATAGTTATTTGTATGTGTGGTTTGATAAAATTCCCATAAGAAATTAAACTGCGAGAGTGCTGAAAAAGAATTTCTAAAAAAAGTAATATTGGCCTTGACTCAACAACTCTGAAACTCAAACTTGTCCTAGATAATTTGATGCTTTGTAAGTGTGTGAAGTTTGATGAGAATGCCTCAGGGAATAAAGCTGCTAGAGTGCTGACGTTATCTCACAAGGTGACCTTGACTCTGACCCAATAACCCTGAAATTTGATCATTACCAAGTTATTGTGGTTCTGAATTTGGTTATGAAGTTTGATGAGAATCCTTCAAAGAATGAAGCCACTATAGTGCTGACAGTGTTTGTTACAGACAGACAAATTGAGAGAAAAACTATGGTTTCCCCTCTCCCTTCCCCATGTTTCACTAGTAGGGGACTAATAGGTACTTAAATTGGTTCTGCCCTAATATCACTTGTATTATGAATGAACATAACACAATACTTACCATCACTTCTATGATCTTCAGGTCTTGTTCCTGATCGCTGATTTATTGATGTTGAAGTCACATGATTTGTGAACTTTATTTGATTGGTTGACAGTCACCATTATATGAATGATGTAATAGATCCTCAGTTTCGACACTGTACACTGAGACATCTAATATACACCAAACACACTATAGGTGTCTCGAAATAAAAATATGTTACACAAAAGATATTCATCTTTCAACACAAAAACATGTTACATCAAACACTCAAGGTGTCTTAACACGAAGGAATGTTATGTCAAATAAACCGAGTGTCAGAGAATAAAAGTTTGTGAACACAAAACACATAGGGTGTCTCACAAATGAATGTTACACCAAACACGAAAGGTATCTGGCACAAATATATGGTACACCAAACACATAACATGTTTAATCACAAAAAAACATGGTACACAAAACGCATGGTGTCTCATCAGAGCGTATGTTACTCCAAACACACAAGGTGTCTCCTCAGAGTATGTCACACTAAACACACAAGGTTTCTCATCGCAGAGATATGTTATACCAATCACAGATATCTCATTGCAGAGATATGTTACAGAGGGTGTCCCAATACAGAGTGTGTCACACCAAGCACACAATGTGTCTCACCAGAGTATGTTACACCAAGCACACAATTTGTTTCATATAGTATGTTACACCAAACACACAAGGTGTCTCATCACAGAGTCTGTCACACCAAACACACAATGTGTCTCATATAATATGTCACACCAAGCACACAATTTGTCTCATATAGTATGTTACACCAAACACACAAGGTGTCTCATATAATATGTTACATCAAACACACAAGGTGTCTCATCACAAAGTATGTTACACCAAACACACAAGGTGTCTCATCATAGAGTATGTTACACAAAACACACAAGGTGTCTCATTACAGAATCTGTCACGACAAACACACAATGTGTCTCATCATAGGGTATGTTACACCAAACACACAATGTGTCTCATCACAGAGTCTGTTACACCAAACACACATGGTGTCTCATCACAGAATCTGTTACACTAAACATGCAAGATGTCTCATCACAGAGTCTGTTACACCAAACACACATGGTGTCTCATCACAGAGTCTGTTACACCAAACACACATGGTGTCTCTTCACAGAGTCTGTTACACCAAACACACATGGTGTCTCATCACAGAGTCTGTTACACCAAACACACATGGTGTCTCATCACAGAGTCTGTTACACCAAACACACATGGTGTCTCTTCACAGAGTCTGTTACACCAAACACACATGGTGTCTCATCACAGAGTCTGTTACACCAAACACACATGGTGTCTCATCACAGAGTCTGTTACACCAAACACACTTGGTGTCTCATCACAGAGTCTGTTACACCAATCACACACAGTGTCTGATCACAGAGTCTGTTACACCAATCACACACAGTGTCTGATCACCAAAAGCCATGTATGCACAAATTTTCAAGTTGTCTCATCACAAAATCATGCTTAATTAAACATACAGGGTGTCTTATCACAAAAGCATTGTACACCAAACACACAAGGTCTCTCAAAAATGCATTTTACACGTGACATTAGGTTGAAGGAAACATATACTGAGACAGGTAACAATAGGTTGACAGGAACATACAGATACAGGTGACATTAGGTTGACTGTGAGAAAGGTGATTTAAGGTTGACTGAAACATGTAGTGAAACAGGTGATTTAAGGTTGAAATATATAGTGAGACTAGTGACATTAGATTGACAGAAACATATTGTGAGAAAGGTGATGCTGGGGTGACTGAAACATAGTGAGGTGATATATGGTTGAATGAAACATATAGTGAGACAGGTGATGTATAGTGGAATAAAACATATAGTGAGACTGTTGATATATGGTGGAATGAAACATACAGTAAGACTGGTGATATAATGTTGAAATATTTAGTGATACCAGTGACATTAGATTGACAGAAACATATTGTGAGAAAGGTGATGCAGGGTTGACTGAAGCATATGAGACAGGTGATATATGGTTGAATGAAATATGTACTGAGACAGGTGACATTAGTTTGACTGAAACATATAGTGAGACTGGTGACATTAGTTTGACTAAAACATATAGTGAGACAGGTGATATTAGAACTACTGAAATATTATTTCTTACTGTTGGTTTCACCATATAATTGTTCTGTTTTATTCTTGGTGTTTCGTCTGTTCTGGTTTGAAAAATGATTGTTTCTTTTTATTTTTAAATTTCCTTGGCAAATTAAATTTATTTACTAGAAATCTTCTATAACTAGATTATTGTTGTCAATAGTTTAATTATTTTAGAAGACTTCCAGAAGACTGAATTTCTGTTAATATGTATAGCAGGATAACTTTTAGTGTATCATGGGAAATTTTTTGCACGGTGCAATTTTTGAAAAATTCCTAAAATGTTCCTTTTGCAATTTCATCTTTTGAAGACTTTTTATGTATACCAGTGTAGATTATATCAAGAACTGGAGACCTAACTGACCAGTCAGTCAAAACTAGATAAGAGAATTACATATCAACTATTACTTGATGAGTATAGAAATATTCATGACTAAAATGTGTTGTCATGTGCATGTAGGTATGTCCACAGTAAAATGATAAAAACATGCAAATTTTGCAATTTTAATTTTTCTCTTATTTTTTCTTCTTTTTTTCTTGCGATTTTGAAGAGTTCCTTAAATTTGCAAAATTAGAAATGCCCAAAAACTTTGATATACAGTATTTAGCAGGAATGAGCAATGGTTTGATCCTAATAATTTAAAAGAATATAAGACACATGTAAATTTCATCTACGATATTAAGTGTTGCTAAAGACAAGAAGCCAATGCCGTTGTATTAATTTTTTCAAGGTTATTTACAATTGTTTGGCATGAATTAAATGGTACATGATTCAGAGTAATACTTATATTTATAAACATAAATCTTTATCCAACTATGTTCAGTTAATCTGGTGTTTGACAGATCAATCAGAATCACATAATTATAACTTGATATCTGGAGCAATATAAGAGAAAATCAGAAATGTGCAAATTTTTTATTTCAAATTCATTTAATTGATCTCATTTTAATGAAATTTGATTTTTTTTTACTTTTTCAATAACAGCTAGCTATATAGTATAACATAATGTCTTTGATAATTTTTTCAATGCCAATGTGTTTGAGTGTTGCATACATATATACTTATCTTACCAAATGCTTGGATGTGATGTCATTGTCAAGGCAGCCAAGTGACCACTGTGGGCAGGCACTGAAAAATGATGTTATTCAGACAGCCCTGGGTGATGCGAAATGTTCATTGGAATATTTATCACCAATGACCATCTTACAAAACCTCAGTGCCATCCTTATCAAAGGTTTTGTCACTGTGCTGCCATCTCCATGTCTCTGTAACAAGTTAAACATATTTCCAGTAGATTAATGTGTCTTACATATAAAATAGAAAGGATATTTTCTCTTATGTAAAGATTCATAAGTATAACCAGTATCATCCTACAGAAAGACATGCTGTAAAGTCTATCATTGTGAAATACCTGTGTATCACAGACTGAAGTTTGTAATACCTGTCTATAAAGGACAACTGTGTATCACAGACTGAGATCTGTAATACCTGTCTATAAAGGACAACTGTGTATCACAGACTGAGGTCTGTAACACCTGTCTATAAAGGACAACTGTGTATCA